TGTCTGAAGGCGGTGGTACTTTAAGTAGCAGAACTACATTAATTGGGCCACGTGAATTACGCTCCTTTAGCACAAGGCACGTAGTGATGGTAACAGAACAGTTTGAGTGCTAGCAGTCCTGAGTGTGAAGCCATTTCCCAGTAAGGCTCAGTGCACTGGCAGAGCCATTCTCTCGTGGGAACAGCCTTGTTACCTGTATTTGCAGCTTGCAGCTTACACTGGAACACACCTGGGGTGTGTTCTGGGTGAGCCCCCTGCTGGTGCCAGGACTGAAGTTGTGCCCCAGGGGTGCCACCACAGTCTGGCTTGCAGGGTGGAAGAGTGCTCTTGCTGTTTGTGCTGTACTTGATCACAGATTACTTGCTGAATCTGAAACCGTTCTGTATAACTGCATTATAGTAAATTATTTCTAATGCAAAACCTGATTCAAACTTTGAATCCTTACTAGTCAGCAGCTAAGCGAGTGCAAGAAATAACTTAATCTCTTAGTTTAGCTTCCCAACTATGGCTTTAGTTTTTTTGTTTTTTTTTTTTGACAAGTCAGTGTGAGCACTTCCATATGCTGCGTCGAACTTTCTCATTTAGTTTAATGTGGGAATCTTGATTGAGCTTTTGCCTGCAACTAAAATAGAGGTGTGTAAATCAGATGGCTATGTAGAGAGAAAAGTTCCTTGCATGATCCTGGCATGTATTTTGAGAAAATAAAGAAAAAGGTTTTAAAGTCTAGAACTTTACATTCTAGAAGCAGCTGCTTATTGTTTGGTGCATAGATACTTGTGGCAACACTTCCTGTGTCTTTCCACACAGGAAAAATGCAGTGCTTCAGCTCTGAACAGGAGTTTACTGTTTATTGCACTACAGCAATTTAGTGCCACTTTGACAAAGAATACTTGAACTCTTGATGCAGTTGGTGCTGACTTCTTCGGTATTTTGTAGATATTATGGATTAGAAATGTGCTGTAAACCCTGTCTGATTACTGGCAAAGAGCTGAAACTACATGCCAGAAACTGACAAGCTTGAGAGTGGGGGCAACATAGCTATCTAACTGCCTTAGGGACTGTGCTGCATTGAAATCGCTTGATGTTTAAGTGCTTGCAAATACAGAACAAAGATGCTGTTACAAAAGTAACAAAAGACACAAAAGTATAGATGGAAAATGAACTGCAATTTTTTTTAACCTGCCTTATCTTATATTCTGCCTTACCTTTTGCTTCAAATTGCTTTGCTATTTGCACTTCCCTTGAAACTTCCCTTGCTTATTTCTCTTCCCTCAGGTGTCTCTTCTCCTTCCCTTCTAACTGGCAGCAGTCCCCTTCACCTGAGAAGTGGGCTTTAGATCTGCTCTGCCAGGCAGCTTGCTAACTTCTGTGTAGCTCTCTAAAGCAGGTAGATACCATCTTGCAAAATGCACGCAGCCTTTGCTACCTTCCCAATAACGGATGCATGTCACCGAATTGTAACAAATGTGTGTTCCCAGACTGCAAAACTGCTGACAAACTTGCCTTCTTTCTGCAAGCAGCAGAAAACTAAAATCTGCAGCAGCTGATAATGGCTGGCTCTACGGATGAACTAACTCCTGAAGCATTTTAGGCATAATTCATGATGAAAGAGTTAGAGGGACGAGAGTACTAGTGGAATTTTTGTACTAGGTTGTGTACAAGTGGGTCTGGCCCTTCACAGGTGCCACTGTGCTGTCAAAGAATCCCTTCCAAAGCCAGGGATTGCTGTGCCAAAGGCACTGCTTGCTTTGTTTCCTTGCTTGCAGTCATAGCACAGGACTGTTTGCACTGAGGTGAGGGAAACCACACTCTGATGTTCTGGCTCCAGGCTGCAGTGGGAGAAGGGAGGGTGGGGAGTAAAGGGGATGATAAATACAGGAGAAATTGGTGAAGATGACTTAATGGGATAGCAAAGAAGCCAGCAGAACTTACCGTGTCAAAGATCAGCAGTGTAGGCTGAAGGAAAGATACCAAATCAGTAACTTCATAGAATCATAGAATATCCTGAGTTGGAAGGGACCCTTAAGGATCATCAAGTCCAACTCTTGACACCGCACAGGTCTACCCAAAAGTTCAGACCATGTGACTAAGTGCACAGTCCAATCTCTTCTTAAATTCAGTCAGGCTCGGTGCAGTGACCCCTTCCCTGGGGAGCCTGTTCCAGTGTGCAACCACTCTCTCTGTGAAGAACCCCCTCCTGATGCCAAGCCTAAACTTCCCCTGCCTCAGCTTAACCCTTTAACTTTATTGATGCAGGAACACATCGAGGATTGTCAGCTCTCTATGATCACTGATTTAATAAGGATTGTTGCTGAAGCACCTCATGCTGCAGCACTGAGTCCTTATTCCATTTGGTTCTAGTTTCTTTATGACTAAACGTTACCTCTAGACTTTGAGGAGAGGATCGATCCATGTCTGCAGTGCAAAGCTGAGTTTTTACGGAAGGGCACAAAGCCCGTAGACAGGCTTGAGGCAGCACAGTGAGCTTCCATTTTAAATACGTGGCAGGGAAAATCCTTAGTGATGAAAGCATAAATGTAGAGCCTGGTAGTGGCATTTCACCTGCAGCAGGTCCTCTCCTTGGTGCAGAAAGTGCCTCCTCTTTACTGCCACTTCGGTGGTAGAAAATGAGCTGGATAATGGGTGGATTTTTTATGACTTGTTTGGCACATCAGAGGAAAAATATTGTGAAGTCTGAGAATGGTCCACACACGCTAACCCACTTAGTGACTAAAGGGACTAAGCTGCCGTAATTGCTACTGGTCCTAGATTCCCATGAATTGTACAATCTAAATGAAAACTTAAATGCTTGGTTAAGTTGTTGGGTTGACTTCGATGATGTATTTGAGCTACTAGAGGAAATTAGAGTAGTTCAGTTGGAGGAGACCTACAAAAATCAATGAGCCTAAAATGAAGCTGTTAAATCACTTTTTAGAAGCTAAACTAATTGCCAGTATTCTGTTTTTCTTCCCAAAAGGCCCCGGAGTTGCTGGCTACCTTACTGCAGGGACGACGTCATCTGTAATGCCCAACATACCACCCCCGGTAGACAACGAAGTGGGAGATGTCAGCTAAGGACTAGAAATTCGTGTGAAAGAGGCACAAAGGCAGACTGGCCAGTGACGAGGAACAGCGTTTTCCTCCAACACATTGAAGTGAACTTACTGCCTTTCCAAGTGTTTAATGACAGTGTTATTCCTTTTTCTATGACTGTTTTTTAGGAAAAAGTTGGTGATTCTAACTATCACACTGTAACATAAGAAAGCACTCTGTGGATCAGCTGAAATGGGTACGCAAGAATTTTTTTCTTGCTGTACGTAAGCACATTTTGTTCCTTTATATTTGTTTACAAGACTGTGAATCAAACTTTCCTAGTTTTTATATTTTATGACTTAGCATGACTGGAGTTGAGCTACAGTCTAGAGGAATTGGGCTAAAATCACTTTGACCTCACCAACCAACCCCCACTAAAAGGGCATCCCTTCTGTTCCCAGTCTGACATGATCACTCCTCATTGAACTTGACTTCCAAAGGGTTTCTCCCCGCACCAGTTCACTGATGTCCTTAATCATTAACGTTATCTTCCTGAGATCAAACAGCGTTAGACACTTGTATGTATAACTGGCTTTACCAAATTGAAAAAGCTTCAGCAAAAAAACTTAAGGTTGACATGTTATGTAAGAAATTAGTGTAATTGTGAAATGTTCTATACATTATCCAGTATATAAAAACTTTCTATATTGAGTGTACATTATACAGATCATTCATATGTACATAAAATTTTAAAATAAAGGGAATTAAGAGCCTTGTTAATGAGATAAAGTTGGTGTTCTTATGTAGCAGTTCTTTGAGGGTATGGGAAATGAGGGTGGCCAAAGATCTTAATTTGCATGTGGCTAAACGAGGTTCCTAGGACTCATTGCTTGGAGAAATATGTTGTGCAGGCTCTGACACTCCAGAGCAGAGCTACTAAATGATGAATAGTGGTACAGCATAGGTTGTCTTGTATTTGAAATTGACTTCAGCAACTGACTTGTTGACATTCTTAGCTTCCCTGGAAACAGTCTTGGCAAGAAGCAACAAAGACCAGTGGGAATACAGAAAAACATTATCACTTGCTTGAAAGCTGTTATTTTGTAGGTATAATGCACTGATACAAAGAAACTTATTTGCAGAAAGCTTCCTGTTGCAGGTACTTGGTAACTGTACCACCCTGACTTCAGCAGCTCTTGCTGGAATGCCTTTCAGGTGAATGCTCATCTAGTTCTCCTCAGTCTTCAGGATGAAACTGGAGCAAGTTCTGACCTTACGCCCTACAGCTATTTCTTTTTGAGCTCGTGACATCAGGCTAAGGTTGGTTATGCAGAAACGTAATCGCTTTTATTGTTAAGTTAATTATCGATTGCCCCGTAAAAGCTGAAATACTCTACCTGTACTGTCCTACTTCTATAGAAAATACAGAAAACAACACTGTCATTAGTTCTAATCTGCTTGCTTCTGTTGTATTAGTGAGTTCTGTGCTAAGTAACTTGTGTCAGGGGATTGTTACAGACACAGCACTGAGGAACTGTGTCCTTTGGGAACTTCAGGGATGGGCACAAATGGCAGAGCCTGGTTTGGTGGCTGAGGGAAGCGTGAACTGCCCTGTGCAAACCAGTCTTGGTTCCAGCCAAAACTTCAACACTTCAGAGAAGATGCCTCTGAATCTCAGACATCTTCAAGAAAGGGCAGGAGCAGCTGCAGCCAGGAGGAGGCTTGTGAGGCTGCACAAAACGAAAGTTGCAAGGAATGATGATAAAAAATGGTGCTGATAAGGAGAAATGGGAGATGACTTTGAGGGAACAATGTAAGGAACAGCAGATGACAACAACCTGCTCCTGTACTGCCCCTAGTCCCACTTGAAGGGAGGAAGAGGGAGTTCAGAGTGTAACATTTGGTGAAAATGAGGAGAGTTTAGAGCAGGATAAAGGGGAGGAAAGGGGATTGGACTGACACCAAGCTTTGGAAAGGGGAAGAACAGCATTTATTTGTTCAATGGTTTGTCATTTAATCAGTAATTAAGTTTGTCAACTTGCCATAAATCGTATGAAATTGCCAAATGAGAACTGCTTTGACTCTACAATAAAAAGTTAGAGGGCTTTGGCTCAAAGCAAATAAAGCACTTTAAGCCTGTTAGAAAATAGATTTTAATCAGTGTTATAAAGAACCCAGATGAATTCTGTTTACATGTACCCTTACTTCAGACAGGGCATTCTACAAACTCTTACAGCAAGCCCCTGATTAATAAATGTAATAATTACAAGTTAAGGTTGAGAATGCATACTGATTCAAACCAGAATCAGGGTTTTATATTGATCCAATTTTAGCTTAGACGTTATTGCACTGAGTAATGTGATCTTTCCTGAGGCCTCCATCCACATGAGAGGGCTTTATGCTGACATCAAATTTTTGCAGTTAGCTTCTTCGACTGATCGAGCAGCTCCCACCTCGCAATTGTTGAGAGATGAACTTCATCAGGCCCGTCTGCCAGGCGTAAGGTGCGAATGTAAGCAAACCTGTGTGGGAAGATCTGAATTAGGTACAGCCCTTTTGCAGTAGCAAACTAGTCTGACAGCAGGAGTTATCAACTATTTTTGCTAGTCATCCTTTTAATGAGATTCCTCAAAAGACAGGAGGTGATGTTCATAACACAGGAGGTGCTGCAGCAAAATCTTTCTGGCAGGGTTGAGATGCATGGGCTGGAAATCCTGAAGGCTCACTTTACTTCATCAACATAAGGGATCAGACTGAGCTTTAGAAACAGATCCTCTCTGCTGCTTGTAAGAACCACTTTAGGTCCACTGGCGGCTTCTGGGTTTTGGTGGTGGTTGTATTTTGGTTGTGTGTTTGTTTTTTTTGCTAAGGATAAAGCAATGCATGGGGATTTAATTTGAAGAGCAAGTTGTGCAAGAGGGCCTGTTTACTATGATTTCTGGCTCCCTTAGGCTTAAAAAAAAAAAAAAAAAAAGCATGTACTGGCATGATAAAATTACCTTATCTCTAGTAACTAAGCCTTTTGCTTAACACAAGTATCCCTTACTCACAGTGAAGCCAAAGGAAAATCCTGAGAAACTCCACCTCCCCCGCACACTTGGATTGCACAGTCAATCACTTTAAGCACAGCTCGAGGTACAACCACTTTGGTCATGGCTACCTGTGGTTAAAGGAGAACATAATAGCAACAGTTTAATAAGAGAACATTTTACCAAACTGTTCTATGGAGGCCTGGTTTCTCATAGTGCATCCCTTCTTCTCTAGAGGATGTATGAGCGCTCTGCTCTTCCCATTCCCTTAGTGAATTAAATCCTCTCCAAGAGAAAAACACAAAACTTTGCCATTGGGTTGAGGTGACCAGGCTCTACTTCCTCAATCTGATGAAGTATTTAAAAATTAATCTTTTTAAACTGAGATCTCTCTTCAATCTCAATACGAGAGTTCCTATTGCAACATGAAGTTGTACTCTGTGATTAGGCCAACTTTTAGCAATATTTTTAGCTTAAATTTCAACCAGTTATCTTGTGAAAAAGCGCGGGTTCCAGCTGCCAACAAGCTTACCTCTTTCCTAGCTCTTCTGTTGCCCAACATGTCAATCTTGCTGGCTGTTTTTAGCGTTAGCAGTCTTGCCTGTTCTATGCTAAGGCGGCACTCAGCAATCCAGTGGGCAACAACTTCCTGAGGAGACAGAGGAAAAAAATAACAGTTAATGCCTTCTACCTTGCCAGGGTAAACCTGCCCTAAGGAAGGTGTCTGTATGCCTCAGCATATGTTCAGTCATGTGGAGAGAGACTTGTGTAAACTAAAGGTAGTTAGATGCATCTAATTTACTATGAGGGGAAAAAAAGAAAAAATATTTAATACAAAAAAGTCACAGCCCTGCTTTTCCTGGCAGGGACAAGCAAGGAGGGAGGGAAAATATAGCCCGGTTCACTCTCATTTCTGTGAGCATCCCCATGGGCTGATAGGCTTTGAAGGGCTTCAAGAAATTAGCTTGTTTTTTTACTCCCTGCTTTCCTTTACCTGATACTGCACCTCACAACCCTCTTTCCACGTGCCGTGCCACGCTATACAAAAACTTGGGGTGTTTGATAGGGTGAGGTGGTGAAAGAGGAGAGAGGAACCAGTTGTTTTTCGTAAGCTACTGGTAATGGTGTGTTAACACACCCTGACAAACAGCTGCAGGGTGGTGCCGGCTGCATCTGTCTTCACAGTGATAAATTAGCAGCTCCCTTAATCCAAATGAAGTTTGAAATACGGGATATTTGCTTGCAAAATCTGATCCTGGCAGCCCTTTCCTTCTCAGCTGTTTTCTCTGTGCACATCAGAAAAACGTTCATGTGATGCTGGTCAGTGAACAGCCCACTGGAGCCTCCGCCAGTCTCAGGCATGCTCCGGGCTGTAGTGGAAGATGCAGCTGCCTCCTGCCCTGTCTTGCCTGTGGCTTCATCAGTTTTCCTTTTGATGAGCTGCTGACAAATGCAGAGTGCACCTCATCCAACTGTTATTAATTCTATGTTGTAGCAGTGAAGGGAAGTTTGGCAATGACACGACTGTAAAGTGGATCTGTAAGTTCGTTCCCTCTGGCTCTATACAAACTTCTCCATAACCTGTGCCAGACACTAACTCAGCTTCCTCTTTCCATTGCCTTTACATGTTTTTTTTCCAATAAAGTCATCTTATCTGTTGGGTAAGACTGAGGAACACTTGAAATGTGATAGGCTACCTCCTAAATTCCCATAAATTCCTATGGATTCCTATTAAAAGGAACTGTCAGCTTATTCTGCCTATTGGTACAAGAGAGAAGCTTTCACAAAACTGTATTTCAAGTCCAGAGCTAGAAAAGACCAAAATCCCAGTTTGGCCTTGTACTGGGCTATACTTACATGCGTAACATTAATCAAATACCTGTCCAAACATCATTAGAAGAAGATGAAAACCATAGTAGCAAAATCTGTATTGAAAACCAGCTAAGGATTGTAAGGAAAAAAAATCCTAAAGTTACAGTGAAAAATGGGAGCATCCCAATATGATTTTTTTCCTTAGACCTCTGAAGCATCATTAACAGTAACTTAATAGCAGGGCACAGCTATTGCACTGTCCACTGCATGGGCAAAACAACAGGTGGCATCTGGACTGTGTGAACTAGGACAAAGAGAGAACATGCTTACGTGGTGGTACAGTTTCTTCCCAAAAGTCTCTCTCTCTGCCGCACGCTGGCACATGATCTCTAAAGCGGTTTCAGCCGCACCGATGGACCTCATGCAGTGATGAATTCGGCCTGGCCCGAGCCGACCTTGTGCTATCTCAAACCCCCTTCCCTCACCTGGTGGGAAAGAAAAAACAGGTACATGCAGATTCCTTGGTTCCTGCTTGAAAAAATTTGTGGCTCAGAGCAGAAGGGGCCACATAGCATCACTGCTAAAAGCAAACCTGAAAGCTTATTTTGTAGGATTGTGCTCTAACTAGATCTGTATTAACCTACTGTTAATACAACTTACAGCACAAAGAACACCCCAAGGTGGTTTCTGAGAGGCTTTGGTTTACCTGATTTAATGTTAATTTCACACTGAAAAATACACCTGTGGTGCCTGGTATAAGAATCTGGGGGAAAACTTTGAGCTTTCCAAGTCCAAGGGCTACTACAGAGAGAAAGTTCTTTCAAAGTAATAATTAATAATTAAAAAAAAAAAAAAGAGAGAAAAAACTATTTAAATGCTGATGTTTTCCAGCTAAGAGAACTAGAGCAAAGGTGTCCCTGCAGAAGGTCACAGAGCTGGCCAGCTCATTCTTTCATTTTTCTTTCAGTTCTGCTAAATCTGCAGGTACCCAGGTTTGGTTGGCCACAGCCTGCAGCAGACCGCTCTTTTTAAAAAAGGCAGTGAAGTCTACGAAAAGTGGCTTGGGGGAAAAGAATGCCACTGACGGTTTCTGCTTTCCTCCACTTCAGGGAACTGATTTTTGCACAACAGCTAACTTACTTTCTTCATTCATCTTTTTGCTCTAAACAAGCTCTATTCAGGCAGCAGACAGGCTGCTACGGAACGCGTGGCTCCCTCTTACACGTGTTTGAGAACTTGGCTCAGCCAGCCAGTCCTGCTGGACACACCTTATCTAAGGAATCCCCCACTAGCAGTTTACGCTTACTTAGGATGAGTCATATAATAAACCATTCTGTAAAATTTGGTTTGTTGCTGTACGCACTAAGAAGGAATTAATACTGAAACTCACCCAGTATTATATTGGAGGCAGGTACTCGCACGTCATTAAAATGTATCTCAAAGTGGCCTCCGTGGATCTCATCTGCAGGTACAGAGAAAACACAATAAATAAAATGAAGGAGGATGCAATACGCATTTTAAAAAAATAATAGAGGCCTTCAATTTGACTGTTTGTCTGCATTTTACTGGTCTATGTTGTATACAATATTCATGAATATTACTGCAGCTGCTGAGATCGCCAACAACTTACCAGCCATACAGCTGACAAATACCATCACCTACCCAGGTAGCCAAACACAGAGAGGGGTCTTATCAGCTTCACTCCTGGCGTGTCCATGGGAACAAGGATCATGCTGTGCTGCTTGTACCTGATCAAGACAGAAGATACAAGTTGCAATTAACTTTGAGCTGCCCCCTGTGTCCCCTCCCCTTTCTTTTTTTTTTTTTTTATTTTCTATCCTCCCTTTAGCACTTGCATAAAGAAAATGTTGAGATTTACCTATACTGATGGCAGCCATCCTGCCTGCACGTAGTATGGCACGCGTGCTGCAAACCTCCTTGAACTTTACCATCTACTGCACCATGAATGAAAAGCTTTGTGTCTGTCACCTGTGCAAGTTTCTACCATCTGTTCCTGTATCACACAGCCCCCTTCCTCCTCTTGGCAATTCCTTTTTGTTCTCAAAACACATTTATCATCGTCATAATTTTGGCTGGCCCATAGTTCAGGAAAATGACCCTCATGCTTAAATGCCTCCAGGAAATTTAAGGACAGTTAGTAGTCACACAAGACTGGAGGCGACTTCCCAGGTACCGGAACTCAAGTCTCCTGTTCTAGAAAGTGCAGAACAATAATTCCTTCCGTGAACTCTTGTTCAGCTTCCAAGAGCTCAACAGATGCCACAGTTTGCACAGCCTCTGGACAAAGCATCCTGTATGCTGAAAGACAGTTACTGTTTACTTTTCAATGGAAGCTTATCAAATCCAAAAACCTCTGATAATCAGTGGAATTTGGGCTAAAATCCAACTTGGCAATAAAAATTGTTTCAATCTTGCGTGTCACAAGCTGCGTGATTTCAGTGGAACCAGTCACAAAGCATTTTACTCACAGCTTGCATAAGATTTTTGCAAGAGGAAATTTCAGTTCGGTAATAGCAGTAGAACGTGACATGCCTCATGCTTATTTTAAGCAAAAAGAAAAATCGTATTCCTATGTAGGAATGGAATGAGTAGGTCTGATTAAAGACGTGCAATGCTCTTCATGCACGTAAGTTCACATAAACACCCTGTGTTTCAAACTTAATTTCTACACCTACAGATAATTTTTTGAAAAACTTAGCAGACAGCTTCAGGTCTCTGATAGGCCACTTGTCTGTTCAGGCAAGCTTTGAAAAGTTTTGTTATTGTTTAAGCAAGCAATTCCTCTTGTTAACCATTTTCATAAGCCACGCTTACAAATTGTAAGCCCAAGGTAGTAGAAATTTCAAATTAAATAGGAAAAAAAAGGCAGCATGCTATTGACACAAGGATATGACACCCCATAAAGAGGTGCATTCAAGTCATAAATTCTTCTTTACCCTAGACAACAACTGACTCTCCTCTCCTCCTGTGGGAGAGTCAGGACGTGTGCCACGGGGCCCTCATCCCACAGTGATGGTGACAGCAGAACAGGCACTACCCTAAGAGCAGTCATGGCACAAAAGAGACCATTTAGGGAGCCGGTGGCCATGTGTTGGCAGGCAATACGAGGCCCATCTTGGCTGGCCACCCAGCTCACCCATACACACGGGCTGACTTCGTGCATCCAGTGCACATCGACACAGCTGCACGCACACTGGCAGCAGAGGAAGCTGCCCCACTCTCCTGTTCTGGAAACAACTAATTCAAACTAAAAATACTGCGGCCAAGATAAAGTTGGTGAACTCCAGAGAATTTCCTGATCCAATTCATCACACAGCTGTACAAACACTCGAGCTACTGCAATGGAGGGGGAAGCATGCGGATGCAAGTTGGTGAGAGTGAAAAAATTGAGAGCTTTCAATCAGCAGCAGCTGAGAGCAGAGCAGGAACAGGTCACCAACATTGTTTGCTAAAAAGATGCACGAACAGGTTTGGAAGTCCCCTGTAATTCACACCCACAGCCAACCAATCAAGGCAATTAATGCCATCTCACTTAAAGTTTTTGCAAGCAGTGAAACAAATTTTAGGTAACTCTCTGAATCTAATGTAACTCCTTACCTGGATGCTGAGGAGTTTTTGGTTTTGCCCATTACAATTGCAACTTTACAATTTGGGTTCCCAGCACCTTAAAAAAAAGTCACAAAAATAATTTTCAGTACAAAGATCTCAATACAGAATCAAATGAAGCTTCACGTGGATAAATCTGCCTTCCTTTTGTGTTACAGGAACAAGTCTGCAATTGACTTCTGTGTTTATACTCAGTAACCAGACCTGAACAAAATCCGTATCATTACTAAGTATGCAAATTGAACTGATTTATGGGGAGAAAACCAAAAGCCAAACATCCAAACCCTCCAGGACCCAGCTCTGCCACCTGTTCCTATGAAAAAAGAACAAGAAGGAACTTGACAAGGAATCTAATTACTTTTGTCTCCATTGCAGCTTAGCAAGTAAGTGTAACACAAAGCACACCTGAAGGTGAAATGCTGCCAATTCGAAAGTAAAACTTCTTCAAGCTGTAAAGACAGGAGGATCTATATGGGAATGAAATGCTGACCACATTATAGCCAGTGAGTTAGGCAAATAAGAACTCTAAAGGGTTATCACTGATGACTTTGCTACTATTTCAACAACTTCAGGAACTTCTCTGGAATTAAGATTTTTTCTCCCCCTTAAGCAAATGATTTTAGTTTGTGCTCCAAAGAAATAAGCTCAGTGCAAATTGTTAACTGAAAATAATCTGCCAGCATCCCAAGCCATTGACAACCTTATTTGATACGTGTATTTGTAGCATCAAGCTGACATTTTAATGTACAGGTCCTAAAAGATTCTACCGTCGATTAAAATGGCATAATTTTTCTAAGAAACCTAATCCCTGCTATTTTTTTCTTTAAAAGTTCCTTAGTACCCAAGCATGCCCTCATTCCTTTCAATGTTTCATGCACACAACAAAGGGAAAAGAGGGCAGGACTGCACTGGACACGTAGAAACGAGGATCTTTTACCTTTGTAACTGTTCAGGCAGCTGTTACCACAAGGTCTGTGAGCCTCTGGCCTACACAATACAACCACCTGGCTTCGAGAAGAGCTCCTTCCTTGTAAGGCCAGCTGCTGGGATGGCCAGGAAGTGAGAAGAGAGATTTATTTCCTTCTGATCTGTTTTGAGGGCTGTTCACCTTCCTCTCCTGCAGCATGCTGTTTGTCCTTTGTTTTTGATCAGGGCTATCTGTGGCCCACAAGCTGTGCTAGGTTACTGAGCTAAAACAGCTGAGCAAAAAGCTGAGGTGGGAAGGGATAAATCAGCTTGGTAGAGAAAAAGGAAGAACTCAGTCACCTCATTTGGGCAACTACAACGGGCAGGTGATCAGCCCCCAGAGAACACAACACACGCTTTGCAGCGTATTCCCCTGAGAAGGGAAGTGTTGGGCTCTGAAGGGGTAACTGACTCTTCTCCTTTTCCACAGAATTGCACATGTGGTATCTGCTAAATCACATTTATGTTGAAGTGAGGTTTACAAGAAAGGTTATTTTGACTTTCTGGAACCAGCACACAAACGGTTTTGTAAACTACACTCAAGAAACATCCCTGCTTCAAAAAAAAAAAAAAAGGCAGAATTTCACCACTCTGTGAAAAAATCAGAAGAAGCTTTCATGTTGAACTTTGTGAGGAGTTCACTGAGAACCAGACATCTGGTCAGGAGTTCTAAATCATCAGAACAAATAAGTTCTTGGAAGGCAAATGCATACCTCAGTTTCATGCATACTTTTTCCCATCTAAGCACAGCAAAAAAGGACAAATTCCTGGCCTTTCTACTCCTTCCAGCCTAAAGTTCTGAACATCCCAAACAAATTTCAGTCCAACTTTGAGCATAAATTCCAGAAAGAAAGAAGTTCTAGTCCAACGCAGGTCTCTGAAAGATTCCAGTGCTTTGAAAAAAATGCAGGCTGCCTGGATGGAATAAATCCCTAGTTTATAAATGGCATTCACATGTTACTTCTGGAATTCAAAGAAACTGCAGGAGGAGGGGAGGGAAGAGCCACAGACGCCTGTCATTTTGGCTGGAGTTAGTTGCAGTTCTGCAAGAAACTCACAGTCCAACAAACAGAAATTACAGAGATTTTAGGAGGTCAGTTTTAAGTACAGTTCTGCGTTGACAGGCTTTATAATCAGCATTTTCATACGTATGTCTGCACAACCTATCCAAAACCTGTAAACCACAATGCTGCTCCACTTGGAGTCATTGTAAGTTTAACTAACATATTGTATTTTTAAATCCTTCACTGCGCTCACACATGCAAAGACAAAGACACTTTAAAATGTGTAGAGGACTGGTCACAACCCTATGAGAAACCTAATCTTTGCTATCAGAGGGCTCAAGATGCTGTCCTTCACAAAATCAACTCATATATGGGTTCTTCTTGGGGGAGAGTACTAAATGTAGCACAGACACAGGCAGTACAAACTTCACTGGTTTCATAAGCCAATGGCACTTAATTTTTGCAATTTCATTACCTGTTTCTCATTTTGCAACTTAGTTACCTGTTTTTCAATGTCCCATCTTTCAGTTTTTGGCTAGAAAGACGAAGGTAAGATAATCTACTCCTTGAATACTCAGAATACCTATAGCTCTTGTCAGGTTACTGGTCAGCCAGCTGGGTTACCTCTCCCAGTTAAAGATCAGAGGTCTGTGGTGACATTTACCATCTCAGCAACTTCAGAGGCACTGACGGACAGATGTTCTGGACTCTCCTCCAAGAACAGACTGGATTGAGTAGGGTGGATGGCAGCGTGCTGTTGGCTGCTGTCAGCAGAGATCTAATGGAGACGAGGGGATTTTCTCAATTTTCCCCCTCCTCCATCCCATTTTTACACAGCTGCAGATGCTTCTTAGTCGAACGCTCCACTGGCACTTTGCATTCACTCTTCCACTTTTGAGCACATAGGGCCATACTAAAATGCAGCCTGGCGTGACGGCATTATTCCTGTACCCTGACTGGAGGCTTCTCTTCTCCCTGTACCCTGCAAAGCTCTGAGGAACTGAGGCACTGCAATAACAGCCCAGTACTTACACGAGTTGCCTTCCCGCAGCCTGCCCACAGGACCACTTAGCCACTGACAATGCAAATGCCTTTTCTGCAGGTAAATGCACAGACATATAAAAAGCCCCCCCAGGGAGCTTTCTCAGTTCTGCCCTGGTTATTCTATCACGTTGGGGACAATATTAAGACAAGAGCCATCCAGGAGAACTGCAAGACTCCCTTATTTTATGGATATAGAGCTCAGGCATCTTAAGCAACAACGTGACTTGCAAGGAGCAGACATGCTGGAAGCAACCCAAATATCCTTATCTATCACGGCAAACACCAGAAAAAATGCTACGACAACTCAAGATGAAGGCTCTAGCTAAGAACTCAGCACAAACACTGCAGCATTCTTTCTTCGGTCTGTAATTCCTCTTCCAATCTATTTTTCTTCTTCTTGTGAACACAAATGAAGCTAGAAGAATGTGGAAAACATCTGCCTGTTACGTTCTGAGCTGTCCACTTCGAAAACCTTTCCTTTCGTGTATTCCAAAATAGCTGAAACACAGACAGATGGCTAATCCAGCCCTAGCAGGTGTGTCAGTTTAGCCAGCGTGCCAAAAAGTGAAACCTGACGTCGGGTCTGCCCAAAGCCTCTCTTTATCATTTGGCATCGATATTGCATTTACTGAAACTCATACAATTGCTACAAGATACAGGGAAATCCACCTAGAATTAAAGCTCTGAAATACCAGGAAAGGCTCCTGACCCTCTGCACAAGACAATACCTGCACAAGAGACCAATTTGAGCTCTAGGGATTGTGGAAATTTAAGCAAGATCCAGCTATCTCAGGAATTCTTAGCACAAGTCCATACCTCAGTGATGAAATATCAACATCTGCATGTGAAACACAGAACTGTTGCATCTTTCATCTCCAGGAAAAGCACTGCCTCCTTATAACCCAGGCAGCACACTTGCAAGTGAAAGAAACATTGCCTCATGGAAAGAACAGCATCTTGTTTTTCCTCTACAGTTTCTGAAGAAATATTATCAAATGCTACTGTGATTATGAGCCTGACTGGTAACATCCAAGTCCCTGAGAACTCTCCCACAGGGCGCAGGAGTATCTGCTTATCCTCTGGCTGACAGCTTGCCACTTGTTTTCACATCTGTTTGCTATCACCTTCCCAGTTTTGTTCAATATCTAATACCGAATGAGCCAACATTCCACTCCATTCCACAAAAAGCACACATCTCTTCATTGTATCCCCTGAAAAGTTACTAAAAAGTGGGATAAAAGGTTCTCTTAAATCCTTACATAGGCAGCTATCGAAAAGCAGAGTACTGCCCTGATGAAAGGATGCAGTGACTTCCTACTGGCTGCTGTCCTAGAAAAGACCTCTCCCACTTTTTCCTCCTTTTCACATTTTAAGTGTGTGATCTGTTAAACCCTTTTGACTATATGAAAAAGGGACTTTCAAGACTAACCCACACTGTAACATACTGAAGTAGTAGGAGTTTCGATGTTTGAATGAATACTTGCATGCCAGGGAACAGGGAAGAAAGTAGGAAACGTGACACCTCAGCACAGAAGTTTCAAGGAAAGCAGGATTTTTTTCTTCTTACTGGTGAGTCAAAATGAAAGTGCAACTGATTTCCAGAGGAGGGTGTGGTGCCTGAAGACAAAATGTAACGTGTCAGACCAACTCGGACCATTTCACTGGAGCACATCTCAGTTGCAGTACCTGCTACCACTCTGCTGACAAAAGGTTAGTTTTGTTTTATTTTTTGCAGTTCTGTATGCTAGCAATGATATATCTATCTTATTTACTCTTCCTTAAGTTGGCTTTACAGAGAGATTTCATTTAACTAAGGCACATGCTTGTTTCCAATTTTGAAAATAGATTTGTTCGGTAGAAGAGGAGGAGGTTACTGCTCAATTCATCAAAGAAAAGTCTGCATGTTTAAACTGGGAATATTAACTTCATTCAACGTGTATTTGGATGATCAATTCCATGTCAAGTTTATCACACAGAAATGCTGAATTTGTATCTAACCAGAAGGTTGGAAAAAGAATGCAAAAAATCATACAATGCTGTCTATTAATATACCTATTAACATATCTCCTAGAAAACAATACTTGAAAAAGCAGCTGAGGTTCTGAGCTGTTTTGGGTATGTGTGGGCAGTTGTGTATGCAATAAGACTCCTTTCTGTGCATGACATCCTGAGCACTCTCCAGCTGTAAGATTCAGTCTACCCACACGAATTTGATTCTGTAAGAAATTCCGCTGGGGCATAAAGTGGCTCGCTCTGTGGGCTGAGACTAAATCTGTTCCTGCACCGTTCAGCAACTGGCTCCACAGGACAGCTGTGCTTTATGGAGCGTGTATGCGTGCATGTGCCTGAGAAACAACATCAAGAGGAATGTCATAATACGAATAGGCATGCTAGCCAAAATATGACTTTATTTTCAAGGATGAAATGTCAACTATTGAATACTACATAACTGTTTCTGTCAAGGACTTAGGTCAGCCAAAATCATGTAAGGCAGCAGAGCATGTTCCCTGTCACAGCCAAACTGCTTTGTGATATCCAGACTTCATAAAGTTTGCACTGAAGTGTTTGGCATTTGGATTCCAAGCAAATTTGTCAGTGATGCAATTTGATTAAGCATTCCCAGATAGGTTCTGTAATAGAAGTTTAGACCACAGCCTGAACTTTTCAATTAAAGTTTTAATTTTTTTTTTCTAATCTTGGCTAAGAGGATTAAACTGAGGCTGCAGCAGTTCCCCTTCTACTAAAAAAAGAAACATTTGCTGCTGATGTCTAGATCTCTCCTTGAAGTATTATAAAGCTGCGAAAGATTACCCCTGCTGAAAGTCTGCTAACCTGAACTGTTAGGCACAGAATTGATACCCCTGATAAACTTAATAAATAGAATTACGTTACTTTCCAGTCTGTACATTTCATTTAGGCAACAGTAAATGATAAGGCTGCAAGACTTAAACTATGAGTAATCATTGTTTTGAAATGTTAACCCAAAAATTCTATATAGTCATTAATGGTGAAAGCCATACCAAATGGTTAATTCCTAACCAAAACAATTTTTAAAAATTATACAGCACAGTCACTTAGAAAAAACACCACAATATAAATATCAAGTAAGAATAGACATTACTCATTTCTGTCTATATAATTGGTTTGTATACCTGAATGAGCCATCGGTCAGTAACTTCTTTTTCCTGGTAGGCAGAATACGTGAAAAATATTTTTAAGAAGATTGTTTGTCATAAAGATTTGGCAAACATTCATTTAACCTCCTGTCTCAAAAACAGAGACAGTATTTGGAGTTTTGCAGAGCTTGAAAAAGCAAAACTGCAGCTCTGAGCAGAATGCCAGATAAAAATCTGTTTTCTGTAACATTGGCCTCAAATTTGGAAAATTGCAGAAGACGAGAAAGGGGCACATGTTTTTCATTTTCAGCAGCTTTTTGCTACATCTGTTAAGAAATCTTAATCCCATCTATTTTAAGAGAATGGGGCTCTGCAACACTGTAGTTTACAACAGAAAGAATTTCAGCAAATTAGTCAATGAAAACAATTACAACAGAAGAAAATACTGTAGGACATGGCTTGCTTAAGACACAGTCTGAAGACAAGATCACTTAAACTTCAACCTTAAACAGGCAGTGAGAATACAGCCCTGGTGTTTATGGAATAAATCCATCATGAGGCAGTACTTGAAAAAAACAGCTCAGATTCTGAACTGTTTGGGTACTTGTGGGCAGTTTTGTATGTGACAAGATTCTTTTGTGTGCATAACATCCTGAGCAGTTTCCTAAGATTCAGTCTGCCCACCTTAGTTTGATTCTGTAAGAAATTCCACTTGGGCATAAGTCGGTTCATTGCGTGAGACAAAGACTAAACTAAGTCTCTTCCGCCACCGTTCAGCAATTGACTCCATGGGGTAGTTGTGCTTTATGTACAAAATTTTAAAACTTGAAACTAATATTATTTCTTTGTTGTCTGTCTTCTCAATCCCTTAGCTCCTTCCCATCCCTCCCCCTTTTCTTTCTTTCTTTTTTTTCTTTTTTTTTTTTTTTGACTTTTAGGATGGTCATGGACTGGGATATGAACAACTCAACTGATTACTGGACTGAGGATGAGGAGGAGGATCTCAACTCCGTCATAGATTACAACATGTACGAGCTTCTCTGTGAAAAAGACGATGTGAGAAAGTTCAGGAAATTATTCCTTCCTGTGTTCTACGCACTGACTTTCACTGTCGGAGTCGCAGGAAATTCCTTAGTGGTAGCAATTTATGCCTACTGCAAGAAACTGAAGACCAAGACAGATATGTACATCATGCACCTCGCCATCGCCGATCTGCTCTTGCTCTTCACACTCCCTTTTTGGGCTGCCAATGCAGTGCAGGGATGGGAACTTGGAACATCCATGTGCAAGCTCACTTCTTCTCTGTACACCATGAATTTCAGCTCTAGCATGCTGTTCTTGGCCTGCATCAGTGTGGACAGATACAGGGCGACTGCTGGAACCCAAGGGCACAGAAGGGGTGGTAAACGCTGCAGCATGACCTGCTGCTGCGTCTGGCTGGCTGCCGTACTGCTCAGTATCCCTGAACTGATCTTTAACCAAGTCAAAAAGCACAATAACAGGAACGAATGCCTTCCTGTATTTCCAGTGAACATGGAAACGCTCTTAAAAGCGACCATTCAAATCCTGGAAATTATCCTGGAATTTCTGCTTCCTTTCCTAGTAATGCTGACCTGCTATTCAGTCACTGCTCGAGCAATCTTTAAATCTGCAAACGCCAAAAAGTCTCGACCTTTCATGGTTCTGCTGGCAGTGGTGGCTGCTTTCATTATTACTCAGCTGCCTTACAACATTGTTAAGTTCTGGCGAGCCATAGATATCATCTATTTATTGATTACTGACTGTGATGCAAGTAAAACCATAGACATTGCGCTCCAGGTCACCAAGAGCATCGCTTTGTTTCACGCCTGCCTGAACCCTCTCCTGTATGCCTTTTTGGGCGCCTCCTTTAAAATGCACATTATGAAAATAGCAAAGAATTACGGCCACTGGAGAAGACAACAGCAGAACGGAGTGACTGAAGAAATTTCTATGAATTCTGAAGACCGTACTGAGCAAACAGTTAGCTTCACCATATAGACTATTATTGCATTACCTTACTCAAAAGGGGAATTATTTACTAACTTCGGGGGGGGGATATTCTTTCAACAGCTGTTTCTCTGCAAGCCAACTTTCAGATGAATCTCTGAACCTGCAGACTAGCCAAGACACTACACTGCAACTCAAAGCGGAACATCATTATCAAAATTAAGCATTGAGCAAGAGCAAATACTGAAAGTGCCAGGAACAATTCAGGTATTTACTACAAACAAACCAAAATATTAAGATTTAAAAATGGGGTATCAGTTCATGACTGAGAATTGAGAGGGGGGAAAAAAAAGCTATTTTCTATATGTATTTTCACATACGTATAGCAACAAGAACATCCTCCACAAAAAAAAACACTAACTCCTGCTTTGCAGCTATCTAAAATGACCTTTCATCTCTCCATTTGTTGTTCACCCTAAACTTCAACAAGCCCAGTGTCCTACAGGAGGCACGTTCCAGATCTCTGTAAATGTATCATCAAATGTAAATGCCATAATAGTGAAGTTGAAGCATTAGCAGAAATATAAGAAAATGTTTTAAGTTAAGTTTCAGACCCAGGGCCTGGAATTTCTGGTCAGAATCTGTAAAATGGACAAGACACTGAAATAACTATAACCTTCTAAATTATGCTGAGATACAATAAAATATAAGAACATTAAAAGTGCACTGCCTTTCATTTTTTTTCATATCTTTATCTTTGCTTTGCTTTAGTAGGCATTGACATCTCTCATCACAGGCTTTTATCAATCAGCAAAGGCTAGAAGCCTGGCTCTATGAACAAGAGAGGTTCTGACTCCATGTGGAGCTTGTGGTTGGTGGGATTTACAGTGTTTCCATAGAGAAGTACCAAAGCTGTCCTCTACCCCAGGGCTGTCAAGAATTACAGAAAAACAGCAGCTTTTTGTTAGTCTCTGGAAAGGTTTGAAATACGTTAATGTATCAGGTTTCTAAATGCAAAGAAAAAAAAGGATTATTACAACATACTGTCCCTGCCTTCAAACATCCTATGGACTCTAACAAAGGGCCTGAGCTACGGCTTATGAAAGCCAACAGGAATCTCTCAGTTTTAGACACTGGTCCTAATTACATAATTATGGACTAAAAGAAAAAGAACTAAGATGACAGACAAGAAACGATTGTAGCATAAACAAGACACAAACCTCTTCTCTCTGTTTAGATGACAAAAGCTTACAGAATTTCAGTCCAGTATTTTGAGAAATAGCAGAGCATGAACAGGGAAGTCAGAGGTGCTCGACAGATGGCCTACACACCCACCATAAGCCTGACATGTTTAAACCATGCTGGATTTACTGTAGATGTGCAAAGCACCCATACATAGTAAGAAACTCAGTTCTTCCAATGAAGCTAACTGCATTATCTTCATTGCCCTAATTATTTCGATTAGGGTTAAGACAAAGCAAATGATGCTTACTCTGAATAACATTTTTCTGCGAATGAACCGCTAAAACACTTTCCCATTACTTCCTTAGGAACTGCAACACACAGTTGGGAGACATTGTCCCAGAACAAGGGTAGCAGCTAGCAGTCAAGTGACACTTTTAGGTCAAGAGGCTAGATACCATACCTGCTTTTGCCTCCAGTTCTGTGGTACTAGGAAAGAGAGCAAGCCCTATCTTCTGGTGAGTCTAAGTATTGCACAAGCATATCTGCGTAGGTCGCTGGCCCACACAAAGGTACACAAATGAAACATTAAAGTTTCGTTACAGCTAGTAACTCAGCTTCCAAATTTGCAGTGAATGATGATTTTCCAGAATACATCACTTACATTTTGGTTAAAAAAAAAAGAAAAAAAAAAAAAAAGGTACTCCAAAATCAGGGACATTTAATACAAAGTCCAACTCACTGATTTTTCTGGGAAGTTTCTGATATGAAAATCACATGTAAGAGGCAGTCTATCAGTGTCACAGACTAGATGAACAATCAAGCCACATTTTACTGGAGCTGCACAGTATAATCAAGCCTCACACACAAGCTGCCAAAGACATCGTCATAAAAACAAAGCTTAAAGACTGTGATCATAAATGTGAAAGTTACCAGATGGAAAGAGATATACTTTGAAGAGCAATAGCAGCATTCACTCTGGAAACTAAACTGAGAGGTTCTAAAATGGACCCAAAAACTCCAACGGGATTTAAGTCTTGGACTTCCACAGAACAAAAGCTTCATTCTACTCTTTCAGTTGTTTTACCTTCTATTCTCTTTATTCAAGAAGAGTAAATTTTCCATCTCAGAAATGGAAGACAAACATTTCAAATTTTATCAGCTCTTGTAAAGAACTGTAGATGTAGTCGCTCTTTGTAGGGTTTCTGTACTTACCACTGCTCCACCACTTCTTGCCATTAATCACATAACTGTTTCCATCTCGCTCAATGCTGCATCGCATATTGGTGGCATCACTTGAAGCCACATCAGGTTCTGTGTTAAAGAAAAAAAAAACAAACCACCAATACACATCACTGGATTAAATGCACAGGTAGTACTACCACCACAAATATAGGGATCTAGACATACTCTAAAGACAGCATCGCTGTTCTGCTCCCAGCAGAAAAGATGTTTTCAGAACCTCACTCTGCTGGTGATTAGAGGTATTCTATTTTCTAATAACATGTTATTCATAGCCACTTTAAACTTGCTTGTTTTTGAACTCAGACTACTCTTGAGAGTAAACATCCTTCTTCCTTCCGTGATGTTTTTAAATCCTTCCCATTCCCGATGTACTTAGATAACAGTCTCAGCCTTTATTCTCCTAGATGCTTGTCAAATGAAAATACAGAGATTTAAACTACTTTTGTGATGGATCATGAAATAGGTTACATCTAGAATAGGGTAGGCCACCTTCTTTAAGGTGAAAGCGTCCTCTTCCTGTTGGGGAACACTATGACACAGAAATTGCAAAATAAGAGCCTACCTCTGCAAGACAGGGTTCTCTCAACTCTTTCAGACACGGGAAGATACAGGTTTTGACATCACATGTTCAAAAGCTACCAGAAATGCTGAATACCACAAGCTTTGAAAAGCAAAAATGAATATAATGCTGATCTACAGACAAAGCAAATCCTTTGTATGTTTTCCAATTTATCTTCAGGTTACGTCTTAAAACCTCTACCTGTGACATACTGTGAAAATACAAATCTTAAACCAGAATAAAGACACTTGTATCTATATGAATGTTTCTAGGGAACCCCCAAAACATACTTAAAAGAACAAGATAAATTCTATCATAAATCTGGTTTGTACAATAAAATATGTTTTGCTATTACTAAAACTAAATTGAAAGCATATGGAAAAGATAACATGGTAAAATACGAGAAATAGTGACTACCAGGGAAGAGCAACAAGGGTGTTTCACTTTGCACTCATACTTTAGAGGTGATTTCATATTCACATTCCCAGATACTGTGAAAATGTCTGCACTAATTCATTAACATATAACAATTTGCCGTTTTATACTTTTTGCATGTGACGTTCTGAAACTTCTGCCAAGGTTTCTCATTTTCTTTTTTTGAGAAAAAATTACCTGTCATGCAGAAGCAAGAACTAATTTTCCCTTCTAGAAGAGGCTCCAGCCATTCTCTCTTTTGCTCTTCAGTCCCGTACATGTGCAGGACCTCCATGTTTCCAGTGTCTGTAAGAAACAAGCAGTCATGTTTACTTCTTCAGACACAAATGCTAAGGCGTAAGATGCCCAACTTTTTAATGCTCTCAGTGCTGGAGCTAAAGCACAGGGTTTGCTAACCAGGTGCGTGACAGTTGAAAACCTCAGGAGCAAAGAAGCATTTCCCTGTCTCCTCAGCTATTAGCGCATAGTCAAGCTGGCCGAGACCACTGACATCTGGGAGAAAAAGGTTCCACAGACCTTCTGCTTTGGCCATTTCCTGTTCAGAGAATTAGGAGGGAAAAACATTAGCAATAAATCTTTAAACAGCAATTAAATTCTGGCTTGCTGAGCATTTTCCTCCTTCCTGCCTAGCATACTGTCCATTATATCTGATGCCTTTCTTCAAAGGCTATTTTCAGTGGGTATGGTTTTGAACTAAAGTTCTGACACACTCCTCACATAGCTCTCTTTTGCTTTTCTCATTTGTATCTCACAACTCTTTTTGCATCCTTCCTTCTTCTTTTCCTTCCACTGTTCCTCATTCTGTTTCTTTTCACGTAGAGAGAATAACTTCTCCAGCAGAATAAACCAACATTTCTTACAATCCATGTCTGTTTCTTTCACAGCTAGGGTGTTCAAGAATATTTATTATCCCATACCTTCAGTCTCTCAAGCACCGGTGGTTTCTTCCATTTTTCCTCAGTATTTCCATGTCTAGCATAGTATTCTATTATTTCCTAAGAGAAACAATTAAAAAGAGGCTGTTTAAATTAAGAACATGTGTAACATACACAAATGATGTTTTCTTTTCCGCAGCTACACCTCAAGGAACCAGTATAAAATATTAAACACAGCTTTTAATTATATGGTTGGTTTCACTATAAAACGTAAAATGTAATTCAAAATCAAACTGCAATTTCCTCATTTCGCAAGACTTCAAACGCATCATGGAGATGACCCCAGTCAACACGTTATTTCATACATAGAAATAGTTTAGAGTGGTTTAAAATGCATGCTGACAAAAGCAGAAAGCAAATGTATTCTGATGATAAACGCAACTCTTAGCCAACAGTACCACCACGCAACAGGAATGAACCCAAAAGTAAAACAACAAATACAAACCTGGTGTACTGACACTTAAGAGTCAGGCTTCTCATCACAAAAATCAGGTGCATAAGCTAGTTGATATTTTTTTAATTTGAAAGAATACATATTTTTTTTAACAGATTATGTAATCAGTCATTCCAAGCATCAAGGATTAGTACTATCTAACTGGCCCAGAACTTGTTTTAGAACTAATAAATTATCGCCCTTTTCCTGCAGATTTTACAAGTCCTGGCTCGCAATTCCTGTTATGAGAAATAACTTATAAGCACAACTCTACTCATCTGCAAAACTTCCATGGTTATTTGTGGTTTGTTTGTTTTTAAAGCAAGTACACCTAATTATTGCAAGGCTTCCTTGGACAAGCCATAACAAATTACCGACAGACTTTTAGGAAACCTTGGATATAAAGTGTTTCTGCTCTCAATTTTTATTTGCAGATGCATTCCTAAATCTTCCAGATTAATACGTTCTCTGCACTTCTGCCTGACAGCAAAAAGAAAACAAACCACACCCTAACATTCTTAAAATAGGAGATTTACAGAGTCCCGGAAAAAAACAGCAACACGCTATCATGGAAGTTATGCACAAACACTTCACTGAGTGTTAAGATTTCCAAAACAAAACAGTGCAGGATACTTTCAGATGAAAGCAAACACAAACAGGTTAGCTTGTCCAATCATATAGTCAGCATTAGCTGAGAGAAATGGCTGACTAGTTACAGAAACAGAAGTCAGTGGAACAACATGCTTGTCCCCATGCTGGATGAAGACAAATCAGTTCCTCAAACTTAACTGCAAAGCTTCTAACAAGAAATCCAAAGATAGCCATGTTGCAATGCACAGAAACAGTGGTAGCCATGATGCAATAACTAGTATGATCCTTAGTGATTAATCACTAAGACATTCTGGTTACTCACAATTTCTGTACAGGATAAAGAAAATATGTGATGCACTTTTTTTTCCTTTTGCCACAGCTGGTGTGACAACACAGCAGAGTTAATAAGTATTTTCATTAAAAGATGCCACAGTACCAATAAAAGAGCTTTAAAAATATATCTGGGAGAGGCTAAACGTCCTGGCCACACAGATGTGAATTCTGTATCAATTAAAATAAAGGGAAGCCAAAGTGCTGGTTTTGCTTCTCCTTGGAACTGAAGCTGATTTTGCTTCTCCTTGGAACTGAAAAGCAAATTAATTCATAAGAGAAAAGAAGACAAAAACCTAAGTAGGACTTTGAGCTTATGAGGTTGAACATTGTCTGTGATCTTCCTAAAGAAAAGTAACACAGCACCTATGTGTCTGTACAACACTGGAAATAAATAAGCATCTTAATACCTTAAGAGTTCTAAGGTTTTTGTTAAAGGTATGTTAGATTTCTTTTTTTTTTTTTTTTTTTAAGTTTTTCTTTAAGAGTACTTCTTAAACCTTGAAAAGTATAACAAGTAACTTTTAATTTTCATTAACAATGCATACAGCATTTTACATCTGCAAAAAACAAAATCAAGCAGACTATAAGGATTTCTGTTAACACTTTGCAATGCCACAAACATGAGTGCATGAAAAAAAGGCAGTTCTGGAAAAGAAAAAAAGGAACATAGGATGATAAAAATTCCATACACAGTTAACATTTTTATAAACTCTTCTCATAAAATACTCATTTATAAATAAGTTTACAAAAAGCTTTTACCTTCTCAGCTGGATATACATGCTGCTTCATGAACTGCTTTACTTTCAGCAGAATTTCTTCACCTTTCTTACTTTGATGGAACAACTCTCCAGAAATTCTGTCACGTGTGCTGCTGCTGAAAGACAATCTAAAGAACATCCAACGTGAACATCCAATATAAGACCTTATTTTCCCTTATGATAATATAAGCTGCCTTATACAAGCATTTAAATAAGGCAATGTAAAAGCTTTGCCTTGCTTTTGACCATTAGTTTAGACCACCTCTTACCTTTTTGAGAGTTCTAACCCTTTTTCTGCCAAAGGCTGCACCATCTTAGCAAATTCATGACTATTCTCTGCAGAAGCATTTCCAATGAGGTATCTAGCATACACACCCTACAACCAAAAATAAAGGCATATGTGGTATAGTTAGGCAATTTAAAATGTCTCCGTTTTAGATTGGTGAATTCTTCAACTATTAAATTACACTTAAACATGCGTATTCTTAATAGGAAAAAAAATAGCACCCAAACAGATTTTACAGCGATATATTCATACTGCTTTCAGTCCATTTCTGATATATAGTGGAGAGGCTGAGCCCACAAAACAAAAAGAACCAAAGCTAAAGTGGTTATTAAGCCCCCAAACTGAAGGAAAAACACAAAAATTAGTAGAGCAAAAAGAGTATGTCTACACTGATACTGCAAGCAAGCCCTGCCTGTCCCTTAAGCCAACTGACAGCAATATACATGTATGATTACCAAAACCACAATCACATTAACTACTCACATATACACTTGTAATCCAAATTAAGAATAGGTAGCTTATATCACATTTGGTAAACTGAACTTCTGCTGCAACTCCTAAAAATATACTCATGCCTTACAACAGCTGAATATCTAACACGATGCACTTTATGAAGAACAAATTCTATGCTGGGGAGTTATCAGTCATAAGCATCTAAGATACTGCTTTTACAGGAATAAACTGAAATAGGTTTCCAGTTATTTAAAAAAAATAATCTTACTTTGAACAAATATTACTGACCTACAAACACTCGTAATAAAAATGTAACATGTCAGAAAATGTGAGTGTGTTACCTGCGATATCCCTGCCATTTTAAAAAATGACAAAGCAAGAAAGAAATTGAAGTTGGAGAAAGTAGTGCTAATACCCCGGCAGCGACAGTAAATAGAAATCAGTTCTTCAAATGAGGGGTTCACTATTAAAAAAAATAAATAAATACGAGAGAGAAAGAGTATGTTAGGATGCTCAACATTTTCAAGGATTTTTCCATCTGATTCTTCAAATACTTAAACAGCTTTTTCAGCTGAGACATTCCATTAATATAGTAAAAACAAACAAACAAACAAACAAACAAAAAAGATTTATCATTTCTCATGTCCTGAGAGGTAGAGAACCAAAAGGAAACATATAAGTAAAAAAAGTAAACATAACACTTCCTTACTCCTCCCTAACCACCACTCCAATTAGGAAATTATTGCACCACAATTTATTTTATTTTTTTTCAATTATCAACATAAATTTATATTTAAATTTATGTTTGCCTCCATTATCTTTATAAGAAAGGTTCAAAGTAAACTTTTATTGAATTAACGTACTATGATTCACCCATATTCTATTAAAACAGAACCTTAAACTTCACCATTGGCACATCTACAGTGAAGAAAACTGCAGAAAAGTTCTCTTCAAGTGAAGAATGGTGTATTTATTAATTTAACTTTTAATTAGTGTTTATAAAAAGTTTTTATAAAAAGTCACACATGAAATACATATCAACCACAGAATTCACGAAGACAAAAAGATTATAATTTCATACCTATAGTGTCTTTGAAATTGAAGACAGTTCCTTGACCTAAGCCTTTAAGAGATGTAGGCCAAAAGTAGAACATAGTAGCATAGGCTAAATCTGCTAGAGGATGACCAGTGGTTGAAAGTTCCCAGTCCAGCACTGCCAAAACACGAGCCTTAAATAAAAATAATAAAAATTTTAAAATAAAGATAAAATCAGAAATAAAAATAAAAGCCTCAAGTGAACAATCAGAACAATAGAAAACTCTTCATCCACAAATGTACAACACACTTAGTATCCAAGATCTTTATTGGGTTACTATGTGTTTAAAATTAAAAACATGCACTGTCTACAGCAAAAGTAGTTCTATTTAGCACTTCATAAAGATCTGCAAAAAATTAACATTCACACAGTGGCAGAAAACAAGGCCTTTTTCCAATGAAAATCTGTTTTAAATTCTACATTTTTGAATAATATTCTCCCTGTCAGAAACTTCTAAACTGTCCTAGTCTTAAACTATGTACAAAAAACTTTCCTACATGGCCGTGCCTGCATATACAGGAACAGTTCCTACAGATTGTTTAAGAGGACCTGTATATAATTTGGTCAACTCTTTTGACTGTAGCAGGAACTGCTAGGAGAGTCTGCAAGACTGCCAGATTCTCTGTTTGTGGAGTCAAACAGCATATTTAAACCTACAGCCAGCTTCTATCAACTGATCTATGCACAACAGCAGGAATCATTGGGATCTGTTGCGTTTTCATGGTGCAATCCAGGAGCTGAGTCAGCCTCCTTGCTGCAAGTCAGTCCCCTCTGCCAACTCGCTTAGATTCTGGGGAGTTACTGGACCACACAGGCAACAGATGACAAAGGGGACCTAGCACACAGGCACAACCCCAAAAGCCACAGAGATTAACTGAAGCCCTACCACAGATTTCCATGGGCTCTGGATCAGATTCTTAATCAGCTTAATGAGTCTTCAGTAAGTCCTTCATTTGCACTGAATTCAGTAGGATTATTAACGTAAAATTACATTTTTCTGGACTTTCAAGTAGACACTAGAGCTAATGAACAGCATTAGGTACCCAAGTACATACAAAGAGCATGAGGAGGAGTTAAGTTCGCCCCTGTTTCTTTCAAAGATGTATAATCTAAACATATAGGGGATGGAATTATTGTTTGTATTAAGATTTGCAAAGAGAGTCAATCAATTTTGAATGATAGCTAAGACAACAAATAACTAGATATCCATGTGTACTTCTTCTCCAGTAGTCTTTACACTGACGTAGAGCAAATCATGACCAAAACACCTCTAAGTCCCATTTCAAGTATGAACAAATGGAGAAACAAAAAGCGTTAAACGTACAAATATGTTTCGAATACCTCTGTTGGGTGGAAAATGATGTTATCTATTCTGAAGTCCCCATGAATCAGGGTTTCTTCATTATCATCAGCTGGCAAGTTGTTTGCTAACCACTCAGCCAGCTGGTTCATGGCAGGAATATCTGTATGAGCAGCTGCATCATATTGTCTTTTCCAAGTTGATACCTGAAAAAATATGAACATTTTAACAGCGTTACAGAATTGATCTGAATGTAGCATTAACTTTGTACTGTGCATAAATACTTGAACTAAATGAAGACATCTAGTAATCAAAATATGATGGTTACTTTTAAAAGTAATTTAAAATTAACCAATTAGCTTGCAAGTTAGCTTGCCACTCAAATAAATCTTCAAAGACCTGACAAAACGAGAATTTTTCAAAAAGCTCTACCTGCCTTCTGCAGTATCCTGGACCTCTGCCATATTCTTGGAGACCCAACGACTGCAAATCAAAGGAGTGCAACTGAGCCAACGTTTCTATCATTGCAATGTACAACGCAGAACGCTCTGCTGGGCCCACTTCTGGCAGCGAGAGGTCTCGGAAGATGCGACCCTACAGACATCGTAAATCAGATATTTGGTGAGATGCACACAGCAGATGAAGAGAAGTATGGCTATATATTTCAGGAACCAAAACAAATGCAGTGAACCGATACTTCCTGTACAATCTAAAATTCCTCCCTCGTTTGCTTTATACTTTTTTCCATGACAGATGAAGAGAATCACAGTAATCCCAATCATTAGGATGCAGAATATCTATTGGAAGCCAATTAAAATAAAAGAGATATATTCAGTAGATAAAAGTCTGAACTAGAGCACGCAATCAGACATCCTCAAACTTGAAAGTACTGCCAAAAAAAATAAAATAATAATGTTACTGTATTGTCCCTAACTGGCCCACAAACTCTTAAATTTCTAATTTCCTAGTCAACCTGATGACAGAATAATAAAATTTAATACATTTATTTTTTTTGGATTATTAGACAACTTTTAAGATAATGTATCAGAGAGAACCCACAACACTACTAACCAAATCATATTTTTGGACATAACTCACCAACTTTTTTTTCTTAATACAACTTCAGTGTAAATATATATCAAACACATTTATATGATAGCCCATAATCGTCCCAATTTCCTTCCTTTTTTGTACATGCTCTTAATTTAAACAGAGATCCACAACTTTGAACACTTTTCCTTAGAACTCAAATTTCACACCACGGGTGTCCCAGAACACGTAAGAGGCAACTGGGAATTTTTGCACAAACATGTTTCTCAGGGCTTCAGCTCTTCATGGAGTCTAGATTTCCCAAAGCCCTGCACTGTCTACATGTTGGTACACACCTCAACTTGTCAAACAAGCAAAGGCAGACAGAAGAGGATGTGATGAAAGAGATGAGGCCTGAATTCAAATCCTTGTCCCACAAGAAAAAAAAGACATGATACAGAAAACTTAGAAAGAATCACCCAAATCTAGTAGAAACAGTATCAACTCAGCCATGGCACACCTACAGTGATGGACCACAGAGCTTTTTAAGCTAGCACTTTTTAAAAATATGAGAGGATTACTTATATTGGTATTCCCTGGTATGCTTCATTAAGTTTTAGGCAATTTAAAAGCAGCTTGTAGTAGGGAGAATGAAAAAAAACTCTGCCACATTGGCTGACCAACCTGCACATGCTGCATTACATAAAATTCTGTTCCAATGACAGAGACATCACTGCAATACAACAGGGGCTCAGGGACTGGAAATCCAGCTGCAAATAAGGCTTTCTGCACATGATATTCTCTATCAACCTGAAGAAGACACAGAAAATTAGTTTCAGTGAACAGCTCCTAAGCACAAATCATCATCTTACTGAATACATGTAACGACAAATCTATCCTCTTACGTGTTAAGTGTACAGCACAGAAAATTGGAAACAATCCAAGTAATGTGAGGCACACCTAGACATATCCAACAATCACTGCAATATGCTGTACCATCATGTATGGGAAGAACTTAATCCACCTGCAAAAGGGATTTAGGAGCTTGCTGAGAAATGTTGCTTACCTTGTGAGCTCTAGGTAAAAGGGGGCCATGGGGCTTCTTCCTGAGCACGTAAGCCTTCTCGCCCTTCCGAAGATAAAAGGTTGGATTTGACTGGCCTGAGCTGCACAGAGAAAGGTTCTAATTACTTACAATTTCAAGTACTTCCAAATCTGCAGTCTTATAACATAAACAGTGCATAATTCGCTGTGACGATGCCTGAGCAAAAGGGCAAGACAATGGAGGGTATGGTTTTTTTGAAGTTTTCTTTCAAATATAGTCTTAAAAGGATGCAAACAATAGCCCACAAAATCAGAAGTCAGAGGTCCTATCCCTACCTAAAAGAAAAATGTCTTATTTCACTGTGCAGAAGTCAAAGATATTCAATTTGTTCTCCTGCGAAATGGTGACAGCATTTACCTCTCTACACTAAATAGATAGCATTAATGTGTTCAAGGTTTCAAACAGAATTTATACTTGCTCATTACTGTATTGTTCCTTGGTGAGCTCTATTTTTAACAACATAATCATAGAAAAAGCTTTTCAAATCACTGATGGATTCTAGCACCAAACCCCACTGCAGGCAGGCCTGATCATCTGTTCTCATCCATGTCCTATGCTTAGGAAACTGCCTACAGCAACTGTGAAGTTCTGAAGAATGAATGCTGCAGTGACAAGGAAAGCACACACTTCTATCAAATGCCTATGTAAAAGAAAACAACCTAGTTAAACTGTTTGTGACACCTTGTCCATCAGATCCTCATCAAGCTCATCGATCCTCATTTTCCTCAGTGCTCTGAGCTCATCTACATGCCACCCCCTCCTCGTTCTGGATCATTTTCAGGACCTATTCTGACTTAGTCCAATAAAAGATTAGACAACTATTGGAAAATTAAATCAAGTGAATGTTTGTCCATTTGCCCTCATGTTTCCCTGGACATTTCCATCCTCCAGGAGCCTGTTAGGGGGTAGAGTACAAAACGGCTCAACAGGTGTACTGCACAGACAGATACCAAATACTGAGCACAGAAGAGATTCAATTAGCTGAAGTCTTTAGGTGGAACCACAAGACAAATATCACAGCAAAAGCATTTAGAATGCTTTTTAAAAAAAAAAAAAAGATTTTACTATTGGCTATTCTCATTAGGCCCCTCCCAAAGTCTCGATTGCAGTACCCATGAAAATTAGGGTATAGGTAAGGATTCGGTGGGTGTTTTGTATTTGCAGTAGAAGACGATAAAAAATTGTCTACCTTATCTTAGAGACAGCTGCAGGTGGAGTGTTTGAGGACATGTTTACAGTGGAATTAACGCGGTGTGGGGTTTTTGAGCTTATCTTTTTAACATTAAGCTCTTGATCTGAAGTCACACCACTATGCAGAACCCAAACGAGCCGGAGTTCCCGTGAAGAGCCCAGGGGTGGCACCCCAGCAGCGCAAGGCTTGTTTTAAGGACTAATAAGAGCCTCCGGGCAGCAGGTCTGAGGGGCACCGGGGGGGCTCGCCCAGCGCCACAGCGCTCCCAGCCCGCTCCCCGCGCCGAGCTTTGCCCCCACAGCCGCCCGCAGTTCGCCAACGGGGACAAGGCGAGAGGCTGCCCCTCACCTGTACTGCCTGACTTCCAGAGCCCCCTCGGGCTGCTGCGGGAAGCCGGCCAGGCGGCGGCACAGGAGCCGCTCCAGCCGGCAGGCGTCGAAGCGGTGCTGCCGCCTCACCTCGCTGGTGCCCGGCTCCGCCGCCATCTCGGGCAGCTGCGCCGCCGGCGTACGCTGCGCAACTGGCGGAGCGGCCCCAGCTCTCGCCTCCTCCCCGTCCCGCTACGCAAATCGCGGAGCGGCCCGCCCCGCGCCGCTACGCAAATTGCGGAGCGCTGATTGCACTCAAGCTACGCAGATTGCGGAGCGCTGATTGCGCTCCCGCTACGCAAATCACGGAGCGGCCCCGCCCGGCGTTGCCGCGGCAACCTCTGCCTGTCGAGTCCGTCAGGGAAACCCTTCCCCCGCCGCGACTCCGCGTTCCGGCCTCCCCCTCCCTCGGTCCTTCTGCTACCGGCAGCGCCTCCCATGGCGTTTTTCCTTTCCCCCCACACCGCTCCGTGCCCCGGGGCTCCAGCAGAGCCCTCCCTCTGCCCGCTGTCCGCCGCGGGCTGCCCCGGCGCGGTGGGAACGCTCGCTGAGGCGGCGGGAGGCGGGGGGGGCAGGCAGCCGGGGGGGCACCGGCGGAAGCGCTGAGGGGCCCGACGTGGCGCGGGGATGGCGGAGCTGAGGCGGCTGCAGCAGCGGCTGCGGGAGCTGGAGGAGGAGCTGGCCCGGGAGAGGGGCGGCCGGGGGGCGCCCAGGCCACGCATCGAGGCCATGAGCGCCGAGGTGACGGATTCCAACCCCTACAGGTGCGGCCCCGGGGGTGAGGGGGGCCCTAGGGGGGTGCTGAGGGGGGTGGGGGGGGTGGATGTGGGGTGGGCCTGGAGGGCTGTGGCAGCCTGAGCGGTTCTGGGGGGCTGGTTTCAGGAAAAAAACAGAAAAAAAAAGTTTTTCAGAAAGAAATTTTCACTGATCTGTTGACATATGGTTCGTTAAAGTGGAGGCTTTCCTCTTTTAAATGTGAGATTCGTTTCCTGATATAGTTACAGACTCACTCTGACTTACTAATCTTACTCATACTGACAGAATAAGCATGTAATTTTCTTCAGGGTCAACACTTAATTCCTTTTCCTAATAGGAAAGCTTCTACTCCCTCATTCAGACCCTATCCAGCTGGCAATCGCTACTGCAGTGAAAACAGCAGGCTTGAGTTTGCTGCATTGCCAGCTGTTTTGTTTTGTTTTTTAAGCAACAACTTTTAGATGTCCAAAGAGCAAAATTGTTATTAGAAAGAGCATCTTCTGCATAACATTGCTGTTTTTCTTTGTAGTCGCTTGATGGCACTGAAAAGAATGGGAATTGTCCAAGATTATGAGGTAGGTTTGTATCTGCGTTAAAACAGCCCCATATTTTCTCCTCTCCCCACCCGCCCTGGACCTGTGAGGATCGCCTTTGACGTGCTGATCCGTACCTTATTTCTTTCCGCAGAAAATCCGTACCTTTACAGTTGCAGTAGTAGGTGTTGGCGGAGTTGGCAGCGTGACTGCTGAAATGTTGACAAGGTGTGGCATTGGTAAGGTAATATAAGTTTTCTTCTTCTACCTCATTATAGCAGATGGACTAGTCTTCTTTATAAAGAGTTTGATTCAGTTTTCCTCAGTTGATTTTGCCCGAATAAATGTACTGTGAAGAAAACACTCAGGAAAAGCACTTGAGTAAAATTGCAAATGAAGAGTCTGCATTGTTCTTATGTTAGCAAAATTGATTTATTTGGGACTTGATCTTCTATCATGTGGACTGTTCTTGTTCAGATGCTTGTCTTCTCTGTGCTCAGATATGAATCCATCTATCTAATAACCATACTGGATTACTGCAACAGGAAGATAAAATGAGGAAAAAGGAGGAGGTAGCTCACGTAGAAGATTAAATCCTACATTATGAGAACAAGTTGATATTCAAGAAATTGTGCTGCAGTAGATGTCAGACATTTTTACCACAAAAATCAGTTCATGATGTGACAGAAGTAAAAATTTAGCAGACTTAATAATAATGTGTGTATAGATAACAAGAACCTACTGAGTCAACAGGCTTTCCTTTAAAAGGAGGAATTTGGGGAATGGTTTAGATGTTTGCATTTCCAGGCTGAACCTCACCATTTACTCTTGGAACTTAAGAAGTTTCTTAATACACAGGTGATGCAATTTTTGTATTGCAAAGTTTGTTCTCCCTTCCTCTGAAAGAGAATTTCCTGTAGATCAGCATCTTTTACTTAGGATGTTGGGCTATTGAATCAGAATTTATAAGAATCAACATACCTGTGTAATCCGTAGGTATTTTAAGTTAATTGCTTTTGAAGAACAAGTGAAAAAAACGACACATTTTTGCTAATGTCATAATGGCAAGTAGGAATGTGAGAGAGGTGTTAATGTCCGTGTTGATAGTCTGCTGAATATTTTTAGTTTAGATCAAATGAGCAAGTTCAAATTGCTGCTTTTTAAAAAACAAACAACAGCAGTTTTCGTGACTTCATAAATCATTTCCTGGTGACTGGCAGCTAGAATTCAGTCTTTCATGCTTACAGTATTGGTAACTTTTACATATGAAATGAGTTGAAATGGAGGGTGTCATTTATTTGAGTGTGTGTTGTTGTTGTTTTTATAACTTTCTGTTTAAAATGGTTTGCTATAGTGCTCTGTTTGCCAAGTATTTGGAGATTCACATGTTAATGCAATTTTTATTGTAGCTTCTTCTGTTTGATTATGACAAAGTGGAACTGGCAAACATGAACAGACTCTTCTTCCAACCTCATCAAGCTGGATTAAGTAAAGTGCAAGCAGCAGAGGATACCTTGAGGTATGACTTACAGAAATGGGTACGCAGTGCATTTATCTGGGATGCTGCTACAGAAAAATGTTCAACTCTTAATCACTTGCAAGGTAGCAAGCTCTAATTTAGACGTTTGAGTATAAAATGGCTGTGGGAATAGCTGATACTTTAAGGACATTTTTATCCTGCCCAGAGCCTTAACGTGAATCTACTTTCACATATGGCTAATTTTACTGAGAAGTTTGATATAAACTATACTGCTTCAGGATCTTGGAGGGTGGGGTTGTTGTTTGGTTGCTTTAGTTTTCTTTTTTCTCATCATCAAATTGTGAACTTTTGACAAATCTGAGTGCATTTGTGCCCTTGGACTGGAAGCTTAAGACTGTAGCAGCACTCGTGAAGTCAGGAAGTGAAATGCAAATGATTGTCTTTATTGACATTGACTCATTTTGTTTCCTCTATTAGAAATATTAATCCTGATGTTCAGTTTGAAGTACATAACTACAACATCACAACACTGGACAACTTTGAACATTTCATGGATAGAATAAGGTAATAATTTTTCAACAAAAGCAAATGGCTAACTTCTGATACGTAGTTCTAAATACAGCATCACATTTTTATTTATTTTTCTTATTTAATAACTGCTAACTGAAAACCAGTGGGAAATACATATGTATGCAGACGCTTCTGCCTAGACCTTTTCTCCAGATGGCATTTATTTTTAATGTTCCATAGCTCTATTTTGTATTAATACCTCTTTGGACCTCTAACCAAAGCTGGCTTTTCGCATAGCAGAGAACAGATCAGGTCATACTTTGACTGCTCTGGGATATTTTCACTTATGCTTTTGCTGTGGATTAACCCAGCTGGCAGCTCAGCACCAAACGGCTGTTTGCTTAGTCCACACCCCTCCTCTGCCCCCAGTGGGATGGGGGAGACAATCAGAGGTGGGGGAAAAAGTAAAAGCTTGTGGGTTGAGATAAAGACAGTTTAGTAGGACAGAAAGAGAAATAATATTAATGTGTACAAAGCAAGTGATGCTCCTCATCACCCGCTGACCAACGCCCACTCTGTCCCCAAGCAGTTCTTCCTCCCCCCCACCCTGGCCAGCCAGCCCATGTTAATTGCTGAACACGACCCCATAAGGTATGGGACATGGCTCTGGCCAGTTTGGGCCAGCTGTCCTGGCTGCGTCCCCTCCCAGCTCCTGGTGCACCCGCAGCCTCCTGGCTGGCAGGGCGGTGTGGGCAGCTGGAACGGCCTTGGCTCTGTGTAAGCAGCGCTCTGCGACAACTAAAAGATCGGTGTGTTGTCAGCATCACTCTTGTCCGAAATCAAGAAGCCAGCACCGTAGCAGCTGCTGGGAAGGCAATGAACTCTGTCCCAGCTGAAACCAGGATAGCCTCGTGCACCTGCCAGTGTTCTTCTACCATCTCCTCAAAAGCAGCCTGGAGTGCACGTTTTACGGAATGCCACTTCTGACAACAGTGAAGTTCATGCCGTGACCTTCCGACGGGCTGAGCCCTGCAGGGATGCCCCTGGCCTGTGAATGCGGAGAGTTGGCAAGTGGGAGTTGGTAGGATGCTGCGATACCCACGGGCACGGAGGCTTTCTTTGCTGAAAAGTTCTCGTTATTACACATGGCCACAACCCCCCACTAGGCAATATTCTGTGATTCAAGGCAAGTGTGGAGAGAGGTGTCGGGCTAATTAAGAAAAGCCATCTCGGAAGAGACCGAACCCAGGAGTGGGCCCCAAGGAATCAAGAACAAAGTGTCACTGCAAAGACGTGAGGCTCCCATCAGAGAGTTCAGAGTCATCCGGGCATCCCCAGCACAGGTTCACTGGATTAAGGATGTCATGTAGGCAAGAACCATTTGTGCAGCACAAGAAGTTCTGAGGGGGAGAGGCGCTCCATTTAGGGTCGAGAAGGAGTCCTTTTTCTATTAAGAGAGACAGAAGACAGCAGAGGACACCACCTCCTTAGAGCAGCCAAAAGCTGCTGCTAATTTCTGTGTTTCACCTGAGACGAGTGATAGACACCGATGCTTCCTAGTCTCTGGGAATGGCGCCTTTCCCAGAGCCGTTCCTCCTTCTCAGACAGCCCATTGCTCTTGTAGTTCCCTGCTTTTGCCCTTGGTGGTGGCACCTGGAGACAGTCTCTGGTCCTCAGGTACCCTTAGGCTGCACTTGCAGGAGGCCAGCAGCACCTTCCAGGGATGCTGCAGGTTGCCAGGCCCGCTTCCGCAGCTGGCAGGCATTCTCTGCTGCCAGGCTTTTAGGAGACTTGGGCTGTCAGCCTTTTTTGCAGTTGGGCTACGTCACCATGCGTCTGCTCCCATTCCCAACACCTTTGCACTCCCATGTTGACTTCCATCCCCCAAATGACTTCTCACCCCTAAGTCTCACTCACGGACCCGCCACCCACAGCCATTCCCCATCAGGAGCAGACACCCCCAAACCAATTCATGGCGGGGACAGCAGGGGAGGGCTGTGTCCAGCCCCCTTCCCCCCCCTCAACCCCCCTCCTGCCGAGCGATGCGGGAAGAAGTGCAGGCAGAGGCTTTGCAGGGTGGAAGAGTGGTAATTTATTGTTCCTGGGGGAATCGTGGCTGCCACCCCCAGCCCATCCCCAGGCTGAGGCCCGGCCGCCTGCTCAGGCAGGGGGCCCGTCCTGCCGGCCCGCGTGGTCCCCGCTTCCCTGGCTCCTCCTGCCGCACCCTGTGCAGCCAGGATGTGTCCCCGACTTCGGCGTCCTGCGGGGAGCTTGGCAGTCTGCGCCCGACCTGCCCCGCGTGCCAGGAGAAGCTTCTCTCCAGTCTGCGCCCCGTGGAGGGGCTGCGCGCCCTGCGCCGGGGCGAGACGCTGCGGGAGCGGTAGTTGGAGGGGCTCCTCCCCCGCTGCCCCCTCTGCTGCTGCTGCTGCTGCCGCCGCCCCAGCCGCTCATTCCGCTGGAACCTTCCCCGGGGTCTTCGGGCCAGGCGCACCACTGCTACGATGGGCCCGCGGCACATTGGGCAGGTGTCCCTTCCCTCTGCCCAGAGGTGGATGCACTCCAGGCAAAAGGAGTGCCTGCAGGGGTCCACACGAGCTGCGCTGGCAAGCGGGCCCAGGCAGATGGGGCACTCCTCGGGCTGCTCCTGCCGCCAGCTCATGGTTCCTGCAGCTGCCGCAAGGTGCAGATGGTCGTCCTGTGGGGGAGGCTGCCCTGCTGCCGGGCGCTCAGCAGCAGCCCAGGGTCTTCAGCACCTCGATGTCTCTCGGGTCGCCGGCAGGAACTTGACGCCTCACGTGCCACCAGGAGGACTACTGCAGAGAGAAGCAGGAAGAAAATGTTGTATCAGCAAGCAGACATTCGCTTTCTAGGTTCTACCACGTTGTCTAGAGTGCTGTAGCAGTAACTGTTCTGTGTATGGATTGCAAACATGGCTGTTAGAGCAGCAAATATGCTTATGATCGGTTATACTTGGCAAGACTACGCTGAGGCCAGATGAGGTACATGGATGTCTGTAGGATTGGAGAACATTACCGGAGGCCCTTGATGATGGCTTGCGTACAAAAAGATTGGCTTCGCGAATGCCTCTAGCACCAGCTCCGCCCGTCTCTCTCTTTCCAGCCGTGGAGACTCGAGCTGTCGCCTACCACCAGCCGGACTGGCCGCAGGCGCCCCGCGTAGGGCATTTATAGGCAGCCCCCTTCTGTGAGGCCAGAGGTGACATCAGCAGGGTCTGGGGTGTCCCTGAGGGCAGCACTGACAGAGGTCACCTGAACGTTGTGAGACTTGAGATGGCTGCTCCACGCTGACAGGTGCCAAGCGGAGAGCGGTATCAGGCTAATTAAGAAAAGCCATCTCGGAAGAGGTAGAATCCAGGACTGGGCCAAGGAGAGGGCACTGAGGTATCAAGAATAAAGTGTCACTTGAAATACCTGAGACTCCCATCAAGTCAGTGCTGCCATCAGGGACACCCCGAAACCTTTGTGATGTCCCCTCTGGCCTCACAGAAGGGGGCTGCCTATAAATGCCCTGCGCGGGGCGCCTGCGGCCAGTCCGGCTGGTGGTAGGCGAGAGCTTGAGTCTCCACGGCTGGAAGGAGAGAGACAGGCGGAGCTATTGCTAGAACCATACGCGAAGCCATTGTTGTTGCACGCGAGCCATCAAGGGCCTTCGGTAATGCTCTCACACCTACAGACATCCATGTACCTCATCTGGCCTAAGCCTAGTCTGTGTTTGCAATCCATGCACAGACTGCTGACAGCTACAGCACTCTAGACAACGTGGTAGAACCTAGAAAGCGAATGTCTGCTTGCTGATACAACATTTTCTTCCTGCTTCTCTCTGCAGTAGTCCTCCTGGTGGCACGTGAGGCATCAAGTTCCTGCCGGCGACTCGAGAGACACCGAGGTGGTGAAGACCCCAGGCAGCTGCTGAGCGCCCGGCACCAGGGCAGCCTCCCCCACAGGACGACCGGTTCCACATCGCGGCAGCTGCAGGAACCATGAGCTGGCGGCAGGAGCAGCCCGAGGAGTGCCCCATCTGCCTGGGCCCGCTTGCCAGCGCAGCTCGCGTGGACCCCTGCAGGCACTCCTTTTGCCTGGAGTGCATCCACCTCTGGGCAGAGGGAAGGGACACCTGCCCAATGTGCCGCGGGCCCATCGTAGCAGTGGTGCGCCTGGCCCGAAGACCCCGCGGAAGGTTCCAGCGGAATGAGCGGCTGGGGCGGCGGCAGCAGCAGCAGCAGCAGAGGGGGCAGCGGGGGAGGAGCCCCTCCAACTACCGCTCCCGCAGCGTCTCGCCCCGGCGCAGGGCGCGCAGCCCCTCCACGGGGCGCAGACTGGAGAGAAGCTTCTCCTGGCACGCGGGGCAGGTCGGGCGCAGACTGCCAAGCTCCCCGCAGGACGCCGAAGTCGGGGACACATCCTGGCTGCACAGGGTGCGGCAGGAGGAGCCGGGAAGCGGGGACCACGCGGGCCGGCAGGACGGGCCCCCCGCCTGAGCAGGCGGCCGGGCCTCGCCTGGGGATGGGCTGGGGGTGGCAGCCACGATTCCCCCAGGAACAATAAATTACCACTCTTCCACCCTGCAAAGCCTCTGCCTGCACTTCTTCCCGCATCGCTCGGCAGGAGGGGGGTTGGGGGGGGGAAGGGGGCTGGACACAGCCCTCCCCTGCTGTCCCCGCCATGAATTGGTTTGGGGGTGTCTGCTCCTGATGGGGAGCGGCTGTGGGTGGCGGGTCCGTGAGTGAGACTTAGGGGTGAGAAGTCATTTGGGGGATGGGAAGTCAACATGGGAGTGCAAAGGTGTTGGGAACGGGAGCAGCCCAAAAGTTTAAATTGCTCGGTTGTTGTATCGGCCTCACGTGGTAAGAAGATTCAGCTCTATGCACAAAATCCAGGCTGAAGAAGGAACATGGTGCCCAAAGTAGAACTTAATTAAGTAGGCTGAGTTTTTCAAAGACTGAAAGTGCTGAAGCAGTTAAACCATGACTGAGCATGCGCAAAACAGAAAGGAGAGAAATATGAGATGAAGAAGACGATGAGCGTTCATCAGAAAGCCCCGAAGTGCAACCACCAGAGGTTACCTGACCTGCAACAGCAGGAGGGACAATATGATAATTAGTTCTGAGAAACCATTAGCATAAATCCTGCCTTTTCTTGTGAACTGCATAAATATGGATATCCCCGTACCATAAATAAGTACTCCTTGTCTTGCTTAGCTGTACGTGTTGGGTGGAATTATCCCCCACATACCCAGCGTTCTTCATAAAGAATACCTACTTCCTAATTCTCCCAAAGGAGTCTTGGAAAGTGACACCGCTTTTTGCGTTCCACCATTGATGAGGACGCATCAAGAAACTGAGGAACAACTTTCCACCTGGGAAGGTGGAAATTGGCCAGGGACAGTGGGAATATGCATGAGAAACCCAGGATTGTTTAGAGAAAACCAGGAGCACCGCAACCTCTTGGCTGTCTCAGGTGGAAGATAGAATTGAGCAGTACGTCACTTGTTACGTGGTGGCATCCTACGACATCTTCTGTGTCAGTGGTATAAAAGGGCCCTGTTTTTTACCCAGAAGGAAGCTCCCAGAAGGGCTGGGGATGGAAGGGACCTCTGGAGGTCATCTGCTCCAACCCCCTGCTGAAGCAGGGCCACCTAGAGCTGTCCGGCCGCTGGGCACCTGCTGACAAGAGCCTGGCTCCGTCTTCTTTGCATCCTCCCTTTGGGGATGTCTAGACACTGCTACGATCCCGCCGAGCTTTCTCTTCTCCAGGATGAATGCACGGTGATGCACAATGCAATTGCTCACTGCCCACTGAGTGATGATGCCCAGACAGACCCTGCGTGGGCAGTAGCCACACTCTGGCTAACCCTGCTCAGTCCCAATCTTCAGCACGACCCCATAGGGTATGGGATATGGCTCTGGCCAGTTTGGGCCAGCTGTCCTGGCTGCGTCCCCTCCCAGCTCCTGGTGCATCCGCAGCCTCCTGGCTGGCAGGGTGGTGTGGGCAGCTGGAACGGCCTTGGCTCTGTGTAAGCAGTGCTCTGCGACAACTAAAAGAGCGGTATGTTGTCAGCATCACCCTCTTCCGAAATCAAGAAGCCAGTTCCATACCCGCTCTTATGAGGAAAATTAACCCTCTCCGAGACAAATCCAGGACAATTTTATAATAAGAAGAAAGAAAATACTTCTTAGGGAATCTCATAGATAAATTCTGAAATAACTAAATTTCAGTTGCAGATATGTTCTACAAAGATGCATATTTCCTAATATTTTTTACTATGGGTGTACACTATATAAACATTATATTAATCTAAAATGCCCTTGTATTTGCATGTAAATCCCAGCCTCAGTTTACAGCTATTTCTGCTGTAGATCTAAGGTGCTAATTTTATCCTGGTTTGATTGCATGCGTTTTGTTCAAAGGGTAACTAGCTAAACTGCTGTATTGAACTTCAGAGGGCAGACTTTGACCTATTCAGGTAACTTATTGCAGGGCTCCCTTGGGAGTCATTCCCGAAGGGCAAACGAGTCCAGGAAACCTGGACGCTCCTCAGGACAGAAATCTTAAAGGCTCAGGAGCAGGCTGTTCCTGAGTCCTGTCAGGTGAGCTAGAGAGAAAGAAGACCAGTGTGGATGAACCAGGAACTTCTGTTGAGACTCCAGAAGAGAGTCTACGTCCTCTGGAAGATTGGGCAGGCTACTTGGGGCAACTACAAGGAAGTTGCTACGATATGCAGAGAGGAAATTAGAAAGCCAAAAGCCCAGCTTGAACTCAGATTGTCCACTGCAGTAAAAAAGAACAAGAAATCATTTTATAAATATATTAACGGCAAGAGAAGAACCAAAGAGAATTTTTATCCTTTACTTGATGAAGCAGGGAATGTGATCACTGAGGATAAGGCTGAGGTTCTCAACACCTTCTTTACACCTGTCTTTAATAGTTGGATCTGTTATCTTCAGGGTACTGTACTGCCTGACCTGGATGTCCCCTGTGATTGAGGTAGAGAATCACGCCCTGCGATACAGGATGCATTTAGAGACCTGCTCCTCCACCTGGAGTGTCACAAGTCCATGGGACCAGACAGGCTCCACCCTAGGGTGCTAAGGGAGTTGGTGGAGGTGATTGCCAAGCCATTTTCCACCATCTAGCAGTGTTCCTGGTTGTCTGGACAGGTCCCAGAGGATTGGAGCTTGCTGATGTGACTCCCATCTACAAGAAGGGTCGTAAGGAGGACCCAGGGAACTACAGGCTTGTCAGCCTGACCTCGGTTCCAGGGAAAGTTATGGAGAAAGTCATCTTGGGTGAGATCACGCAGCATGCATGTGGCATCCAGGGGATCAGGCCCAGCCATCTGGGGTTCACAAAAGGCAGGTTGTGCTTGTCCAACCTCATCTCCTGCTGTAATCATGTGACCAGACTGGTAGATGAGGGAAAGGCTGTTGTAGTCTACTTAGACTTCAGCAAAGCCTTTGACACGGTCTCCCACAGTATTCTCCTGGGGAAACTGGCTGCCTGTGGCCTGGACAGGTACACTCTTCTTAGGTAAAGAACTGGCTGGAGGGACGTGCCCAGCGGCTAGTGGTTAATGGAGTTAAGTCCAGCTGGCCTCCCGTTACAAGTGATGTCCCCCAGGGCTCGGTACTGGGGCCTCTCTTGTTTAATATCTTTATTGATGACGTGGATGAGAGGATTGAGCGTATCCTCAGTAAGTTTGTAGATGACACCAAATTGGGAGGTAGTGTCAATCTGCCTGAGGGTAGGGTGGCCTTTCAGAGAGATCTGGAGAGGCTGGATTGCTGGGCTGAAGCTAATGGGTTGAGGTTTAATTATGCCAAGGGCTGGCTCCTGCATTTTGGCCACAATGACCCCATGCAGTGCTACAGGATTGGGGCAGAGTGGCTAGAAGACTGTGAATAGGAAAGGGACCTGGGAGTGTTGATCGATGGTTGGCTGAACACGATGCAGCAGTGTGCCCAGGTGGCCAAGAAGGTCAGCGGCATCCTGGCTTGTATCAGGAATAGTGTAGCCAGCAGGAGCAGGGAGGTGATCGTGTCCCTGTACTCTGCTCTGGTGAGGCCGCACGTCGAGTGCTGTGTTCAGCTTTGGGCCTCTCACTACCAGAAGGACATCGAGGTCCTGGAGCGTGTCCAGAGAAGGGCTACGAAGCTGGTGAAAGGCCTGGAGCACAAGTCCTGTGAGGAGCAGCTGAGGGAACTGGGGTTGTTTAGTCTGGAGAAGAGGAGGCTCAGGGGAGACCTCATTACTCTCTACAACTACCTGCAGGGAGGTTGTGAGGAGGGAGTCAGCCTCTTCTCTCAGATAACTAATGATAGGACTCAAGGAAATGGCCACAAGTTGCGCCTGGGGAGATTTAGATCAGATAACAGGGAAAAAAAATTCTCTCAAAGAGTGGTCAGGCACTGGAACAGCCTGCCCAGGGAGGTGGTGGAGTCACCATCCCTCAAGGTGTTCAAGAAATGCCTGGACAAGGTGCTACAAGATATGATTTAGTAGCTTAGTGGGTAGTATTGGTGATGGGAGGATGGTTGGACTAGATGATCTTTGTAGGTCCTTTGCAACCTTGTGTTTCTATGATGCTGTGATTCTAAATATACTTCCCATGTGCTTCTGTACTTTAAAGAAAGATGTTGATTGCTGTGTTAGTGTTACGTTCTGCCAGCAATTTCATGCAAACTTCTGATACCTATTGCAGTAACGGTGCGTTAGAGGAAGGGAAGCCTGTCGATCTTGTTCTAAGCTGTGTGGACAACTTTGAAGCTCGCATGGCAATTAACACGGTAAGACCATCTAAGATAGGAGCTTATGGAGATCAATTTTCCTCTTCTAAATATTGTTAGGAATTGTGGGGACCACAGAAAAGACAGGAGCCTATCAAGAGTCTTCTAAAAAAAAGTTTTTCCTTGATTTAAGGAAACAGAATTCAATCTCTTATCTAGTCCTTGTAAGACAGGTTTTATGTTTGTAAATATAAACGTAGTCGTGTAAGTTACCAGCATCTTGTAGCTAGAAAAACGATTGTGTTTTAAGTTCTCTGTATTTCTAAATCATCTTACACAAAAGCATTATCAAATCCTGCTACGTTAAATCGAACAAAATTTTTAATACTGTGTATAGCTAATTGTATAATTTATATGACCTTTTTGTATACTGAAAATGTTTTAAGGCTGTGTACCTAATCATACTGTTTTTCTTTACAGCTGCAGTCAATGCAGGGTGTATGCCAAATGCATGTTTTCTGTTATCCTTCAGCTAACTTAATATGCAAATTGTGTGCACTGAACGTACACAGATAGGCTGGATCTGGGCCTCTAAAAGCATGCCATTATAAGTAGTTTTTGCTATTAGGTTCTCTAGTGTGGGTAACTAGATCTCTAATGCCTGTATTTGTTCAAAACTCTCAGGTCCCCAGGAAATTACTAAGGCCTAGCTTCATAAAAACAAATTTAATTTGTCGTTTCACTCTTGATAAACAATTTCTGTTCTACCTTTTCATCTTCTTTCCAATCGTAGACTTACTGTCTTAAGCCAAGAAGGTCAATGTGTTTAATCATTCTCAATTTATTTCTTATTTTATTCGTTAAACTTCTACAGTGCTGATTGATGTGTGTATCTTTGTGTTTATAAGGCCTGCAATGAACTTGGACAAATCTGGATGGAATCTGGAGTGAGTGAAAATGCGGTGTCAGGACACATACAGCTTATCATACCTGGTGAATCAGCTTGTTTTGCGGTATGTGCAGCTCAGCTGAATTGCTGGTTTGTCTTTCTTTTAAAGCAGGACGTTTTGTTTAAACTGAATTTCTTGATTTCCTTTCAGTGTGCTCCTCCGCTTGTAGTTGCTGCAAATATTGATGAGAAAACGTTAAAACGAGAAGGAGTTTGTGCAGCTAGTCTTCCTACAACTATGGGTGTTGTGGCAGGAATTCTCGTACAAAATGTTCTCAAGTAAGTGTCTGGGTTGGTCCTATGCAATGCACAGCACCAGAAGAGAGAGAAACCTGAAGGAACCTTTCACAGTGACGGGTCTGGTTCTTTTAATGTACTTGTGGCTTATTTGCTTATTTCCTAAAGGTATTAGTATCATCAGACACAGCTGATGCATATAGTGTTTGAATCATTTTTTGTAAGTGCTGTTTTTAGTAGAACTCTTCAGGGGCAAGGAAAAGTCTTTAGAGTTTTCCTACGATTTTTTCTTGCTCTGTGTACACACACACTTTTTTATTTATTTTCCTTATTTTGGTATTTAAACAAGCTTCAATTTAACATCGTTGAGCAGCTGTAAACAAAAATGTTAGAGAACTAACTACAATCTTTGACATTCTTACATGGATGAAGAAGAAATAATTTATCATGCAATATTCATATCCTAGAAATGAGGTGAATTTAAAAGGTACTGTCACTTGACTACAGCTACTAAAAACTGCAGGTATCAGCAGAGAAAATTTTTGACTTCACACTTGTTTTCAAAATGATGCACCATCTTTCCCCAGCATCTTTTTAGCAAAACTTGCCAACTTTGTTCAGCATAATAAGCTTTTTTTGGGTTTTCTTCAATTGCCTGTTTAAACTTCAAAAATAACTGTATGCGGTATTATCATTTAAGCTTTTAATCATATTTATGCTTCGAGAATAAGATCTTACTTAGACAAGCCTTAGCTTGCTTTTATCAGTTGTCCAGAAAATTCATATCTATGAACAAAGAAGTTCCATTTTTCAGCTGTGCAGCAAGAGGCATTACATAAAATTGCACCCCAGCAGATGTTTTTCTGTAATGAAGAATGCAAACGTTGCAGCTTAATTTAAATCTTTATTTTCATTGCAAATATGACCCTGTAAAGACAATTAAACAGGTTCTGATCGGTTAAAAATTCTGCCTCTGAAATACAGGGCACCTGAGTGTTGCAAGCAATGAATTAAGGCACAGGAGAAAGCTGCTTACATACTGCTCTAGACATATTTATTTCTGAGACACTGGGTCACACACACACAAGAGGACCATAAGTTGATGAAGTTATACTGTTGTCAGGTGACTACGCCTTATTTTAAGACAACTATAGTGATTTTTTACAACTCCGCTGGTCACAGGTATGTAAGTGTATTCTAAAAGTTCTTTGTTACATTTGTACCTGTGTGTAAGGACCGGGTTTCTCTATTTGTGTTTCTAGGTATCTTTTAAATTTTGGTACTGTGAGTTATTATCTTGGTTACAATGCGATGCAGGATTTCTTTCCAACTATGGCGATGAAGCCAAACCCACAATGCAGTGACCAAAATTGCAGGAAACAGCAGGAAATTTATAAGGTAAAATTATTTTTTTTTCCTTTCTTACACTCTTAAGAACAAAGCAAGCTACGGATCTGTAGTAAAAGAAGACCTTCAGCATTGCTCCAAATTTTCAGCAGCCTTGTCTGCAGATGATTGCATGCTTTTTACAAACATAGTACTTCAAGATGTTTCCTTTAAGATAACTAACATCTTTGTTCAGTGGATTGAGTGCACCCTCAGCAAGTTTGCTGATGACATCAAGCTGTGTGGTGTGGTTGACATGCAGGAGGGAAGGGCTGCCATCCAGAGGGACCTGGACAGGCTTGAGAGGTGGCCCTGTGCGAGCCTCATGAGGTTCAACAAGGCCAAGTGCAAGGTCCTGCACCTGGGCCAGGGGTTGGAAGTAGATCTTTAAGGTGCTTTCCAACCTGAACTATTTGATGATTCTATTAACATTTAAAAAGGTAGACATAAAAATTTGCATACAGTTATATCATTTTGTTTGTTTGTTTGTTTTTCCCCTGTAATAATATGACTGCCAGAAAGGTTGAGCAATATTGTTGAGTGTTAATGGTCTTTTTTAATTTGCAGGCATTTTGTCTTTTTATGCCTAACAAACTTCTAAATGGTGACTGCATATGTCATTCAAACCTAATATTTATACTTTTTAATATTTTGGTTTGATCCATCCTGTTGTTAAAAATCAGACTGCTACATATACTATGTGTCTTTTTTTTTTTTCCTTCAGAAAAAGGTAGCTGCACAACCAAAGCAAGAAGTGACTGAGCAGGAAGAAGAAATAGTGCATGAAGACAATGACTGGGGTAGGTACTCAGATGGAGACTAACTGAAGCTTGGTATTGGGAACACCATTTAAATTCTTTCTTTTGGGTTAACACACTGTAGACCTCTCATACATCCTATTTTTGGAAGTTACATTGTTTAATTACTGCTAACTTTTTTCACAGCTTTGGACAGTAATGCTAAAACAAATTGATCTAGTTTTAATATGATTAGCAAGTTTTAGGTTCAACTATTTAACAATGTTTGAATAAAATATTTAGCTACTCTTATCTGTAAGTTAGGTGTATGGAAGTGTTTTATATATCATAAAGGGAAAATGTAGCATTGATAATGGGAATTAAGTAGTTGAAATCAAAGGTCTTTACATTTTATTTCTATTTCAAAAAAGTTGCTGCAGTTTTTTTTCTTGTTATAACGTGGTGATTATTAAAGAACTCTGCTAATAAAATTTTCAATTCCAAAGGGATCGAATTAGTATCAGAAATTTCAGAAGATGAGCTGAAGGCTGCGTCTGGTCCGGTACCTGATCTTCCTGAGGGAATTACTGTAGCATATACTATACCAAACAAGGTAATATATTTATTATTTACAAACACGCTACTTTTATTAATAAGTCTTACACATTAAATTTATGAGACTGGCTGCTGTGGTTATCCGTCAAACCTTAAAATAAAGATTAATAAAATAAACTTTAACGCCAGTAAAACTGAACCTCAGCACATCCAACTGGTGTCTTCTGTGGTCCAGTTCTGTGTTTCTGTGAAATGTATCACTTCAAACATAGATGTTAGTGTCAGTGTGGTTTTGAGGTGTCAGGAGTGAATTTGGGGGGGGGGAGGGGAAGGAGGAGGAGCAGGAAGGCAAGGAAATACAAATTTCTCAGTTAATATTTTGACAACTAGTACTTCAAGATATTTACCTTTTTTTAAGTATGTGTAGTCAAAGGGTAGTTAGTACACCTGGGGAACACAGAATCTCTCCAGAACATTCAAATTTCCAGTCAGAATAGAGTTTCCAATTTGTAGACCAGTTTGCTGTAAATCAGTTGAGTGCTGTAATTTGAGTGCTTGGTTTTGAGGAAGCATGGCATACCTGCAATAAAGCTTACTTTACATATGGAGGTTATTTTGTGTGCTACTTCTGTTGCTGACCTCTTTTTCCTCTTACTACTAGGAAGAGAATCCAGTAGCTGAAGAAACAGTGGCTGAATCTGAAGAAAGCCTGGAAGAACTCATGGCCAAAATGCGAAACCTGTAGCAAAACAAATACTAACCACAAATTTGGGAGTTTGGATTGACATCAAATCTTGAGTGGACTTTTTTTTTTTTTCTCCTCCAATGAAGCTTATCTTTACATATCTGATTAAATGGAACTGTTACAGAGGTGGGAAGCAGACAGACCTAACCTTGTTTATGTTCTGTTGTATATTCTCATCTTTAAGCTACTGTAAGTTTTAGTTTCTCAGCATTGCTGAGTGCAGGTAATCAATGCAAATTTAGAGAGGGATAAATTAATAAAAGTATGCATAGCATGTTATATGCAGAATCAGGTTATAAAAACACATAGTTTAGGACACGTGAAAGATGAAATCTGCTGGCTGGAGTGGATAGAGTAGGTCGAGAGCAGCTGACAGTGCCTCACTCATACTGCTGTTTGTTTTTCCATGCATTTGTATTAGTCGTTCACGGGACTTTAACAGAGCCTTTGCATGGATTGTGCTGTGGGTATGTTTAGTGAGTAAATGGACCTTTTCAGCCTTTTCATCAGCCTTAACTTATACAAATTTCCCTGGTTTTGTCACTTCTTACTACTGCTTGTTCATTGTTAGCTGCCTGTATGTGATAATACTTTCAGTATATTGCAACCTAAGTCTTTTGTTGGTAGATGGTCATGCTGGTAGACTAGATATACTTCAGCTGGCAGATGTTTTTCATGGCAAAATAGGTAAGAATTCCAAGTAACACTGGAATGCACAAGAGACTTTCTCTGTGAAAATCAAAATTTCTGGGGTTTTGTTGGTTTCTAAAAGATTAGTTTGATCTACCTCCATATGGGGGTATATTTAAATCTGAGTTTACATAGGAAAGCTTCTAAAATTAGATGCTCTAAACATTTAGTGTTGCAGATGTCTAAGTTGAGTTGCTGATTTACTGTATTTGTCTTGTAAATAATGTTAATATGGTAGTATTAACTTTTAAATTATCCTGTGTTAAACTGACCTGTAAATGTACAGTATGTAGTGCCAGTATCCTACAGACCTGGAAATACCAACTTCAAATATTTTAACTGTTCTGGGTGTCTGATCCAGAACATCATCACTGTTTAGATGTAATTTAGAATGTAGGTTTTAGCATCTGCAATGTGATACAAGTCTTTATAATTTGTGCTGTTCAAAAACCTTTTTACAGCATGGTGCAGCTAACACAGAACTAGCTGATACATGTTAGTAGCCTTATCCAACCAACATAAAAAAGGGTAATATTTTGGAGGTGCTTCTGTTTCTTAGGGTAGCTTGAATTAATACTTAAAAATTTATTTCTGATTTCTAAGCAACCGTAACAGGCTTCAAGACGCATTTCCTCCATAGCTAGCGCTAGATTATATTATTTAAACAAAAATCATCTTTGAAGTTGGTGAAGGTTTTTTTCTTGTTCTGTAAAATGGAAGGTGTTTTGTGGATTGATTTCAGTTTTGGAGAAAACATGTAAAAAATGAATTGTATCAAGGAAAGGGAAACAAAACGAGATCGTTAAAAAGGTACATACTTGAATCAGTGTCACTAAGTCTACGTTAGTGTGATCTAAGTGTCAATTTAAGCGTTACATTTCTTTGTGAGAAACTACCTTTCTGTTGGGAACAGTCAAAGTGAGGCATATGTTTGATGCTGAAGATTGAGGCAACCAAATGGTTGACTCATTTCTACATCAGCTTAGTTAAACTAGACTCAACTAATTGACAGCTTTATAAGAAGCAACTGTTTACCATTTTACTTCATGTACAGTTTCATGACCAAATTAATACATTTTCATATGTACAGAATACGCAAAATGGTTTTTATGTTAATTTCAGGTATTCAACTTGCATATATGAGAAAGATCTGAAGTAGAAAATACTGTGAGAAGACTGTATGTGTCAATAGTTAGAAGTATTTAGAAATAACATCAGAGCAAACAACAAAAAAAGCAGCTTTAACAATCTTTTTCCAATTAAAAAGATATTTACAACTATAATCTGTTCTACCCATAAAATCTAATGGACAATTTATGACTTTTGTTATGAACTAAGAAATCAGGCATATTGCACTGTTTTTCTCCAGCTTTGTTTTTTGGCAATCTTGTAAACAAAGCTCTAATTTTTTACAGTGTATCATGAATGTTACTGAGATGATACGTATGATTAAAACGCTATTGAAATTGAAGACTTTCTGCTTTGAGGTGTTCAAGTATTAAATAAATTGCAAAATTTGGCTTATACCAGATCTACACATCTCTTGTTTTTTTGAAGTCTGTGAGGTCAACTACAAATACATGAACAATGGTCTTAGAGTGCCATGACCATAGCCACATCAGCTTATGGCCAACACACAGCCTAGAAGACCCTCCATTATTAATTGCAGTCCTATTGTACTTACTATTAAACTTTTTCTTTGAGCTGATAGGGAAAGCAGATTGTTTCCTCACTGTCTTTGCTAAACTGACTGTGGATGGTCAGGATCTGCTACATATACAAACTGATTTTTCTTCCAAAAAGTAGATCTGTGACTGATGGAAAAAAATGGAGAAAAGTCACTTAAAGGGAAGAATGGTAATTATTCAGAATTGGAAATCATTAAGTGGGGAAGGTCTAGAAAGCAGTTTATTTAAACTAGAAATGTTAAGGAAAACAGAGCAAGATTTTATTATACATGTTAGAACAGAGCTGATAGGCTAGCTCAAACATCTGCAAATTCATAATACTGGCTTTAGAGAAAGGTATTATCACATCGGAGTATTTAAATTGATTCATACCACATTAGAGCAGACTTCAAATTGCTTCTGGATGATTAGGCTACTAATAAAAAAAAAACAACAACAGGTAGATTAGATTAGCATCTTTTTATTTGATGGCAACCTATCACTAGGTTTTTTCTTCTAATACAAGCATTCTTGTATTTGAAGGGATTCAGTGAGGTAAAGTAGTGAAACTATTATGAAAGGGTTAACAACAAGGCATCAGATCGTACTCTTTTTCATTCTGTTTCCTCAGAGGAAACATTTTCATTGAACACAGATGGATTTGACAGCAGCTTTACTTGTATATAATGATATATTTAGATAAATGTGCTTCAAAGGGAAACCAATTATTTTTGCAAAAGTCTTTTGAATGTAAATTTACTTAAAGCTGAAATTACAGTGCAGGTAAAACGTGGGGGTAAAACAGTATTTTGACTTTTTCAAAGTTATTAGAACTTTAGAAACAACTCTAAAAGCTTCTGAAAAAGGTTGATGAAATAAAAACCACATAAATGCACTAAGCCAGGCTATTATAACATAGAAGTAAGAACTACCCTAAAAATTACATACCATTGGTTTAATTTATCTTGTTACAGTCCTGGCTCTTAGGATAAGAGGTATCAAATCCATATGTTTTTGGTATTAACTGTAAGTTGAGCAAGTACCTTATATGCATATTTGTATACAATGGAAGAAATTGACATCGTACCATACCGTCTGCAAAGTTAACACAGAAGGATTTCAAGCTTAAATTGTTTCCCTGTCATTCATGAAGACAGTCTTAAGTTCCAAAATAGTACTTTATCACAGGAAAAATAGGTTTTCCTAAAAAATTTGTCTAAAAAAGTAGCAATAGAAGCAGCCTTTTCTTTGAGTAGGTTTATATCACCTTTGTCCAGGTTCCAGGAAGGTATTTGGTGATAATGCACTTTTTATACTGAATGTATCTCCACTTGATGAGTGTCGAGAAGTTGCTTTTCCACCTATCAACAAAGTCTCTGCTTCTTTTATTTCCATAGCTCTTTTGTAAAGTTCAGCTGCCTTCTCAAAATCTCCCCCTTCATAGCTTGGGAGAAGAGAAAAACAAAGTTGAAATAAACACATAAAACAAGTCTCACCCTTTATTTAAACTGAAATGCACACCATGCAATCAACAAGTGTAATTAAGGCTCTCTACTTTCCTAATAAATACCCAAGTCCATATGTTTCATTTTATCCACTGACTTTTATAGTAATTTGATTTTATAGGGCAAGAGCAGATCCAGATCATCTTACCTTAACACAGCCAAGTTTTTCAGTGTTTCCCCTACACGAGGATGCATATGGCCGAAGCTGTCTTCATAAATCTTTAGTGCACGTTCATAAAGAGGTAAAGCTTCAGTCTGCTTTTTCTTTGGGTAGTAAGAAGTTGTTTGTTACAAAAGTACATTACATTTTTTTGTTTGTTTGCCCTACACAGTATCAACACATCCTAGATACAAATTCATGTATATTCAACCAAAAAGCTGCTTTGTGTTTTTGATGCTGTTGGCATATGAGAAGTATAATTGAGACTGTAAAAGCTACTGGCTTTTACTTGAAAATCCCATTCCCATTAGTCTGTTCACATTTAGGGTCTGGTTTTGCTAGGCAGTTCTGAAAATCTCAGTCTATATGCCATAGAATTCTTAGTTGCCAAATGCAACTCCTTATAATTCCTTAATTTTATCTGAAGCAGCTTTAACTACTGCTTAAAAGAAGATTCCCTCAATTTTTCATAACGGATCCTAAGCATTTGTAGGTCCTATAAGGAGATCTCTTTAAAATGCAATTAAGTTACTTTGGTATCATTTAGGTACAAGTCATAAAAAAGACTAAGATGGGAATAATAAACATGTAATACATGGAGAACTTACCATCTGACAATAAAGAACGGCCAGATTCACCAAAGCAGTTGCTACACTAGGGTGTTTGGGGCCAAATGATTTCTGTCGAATTTCAACAGCTAGTTCATACAGAGGAACAGCCTTGTCGAGTTTTCCCTACAGAGAACACAGAAAAAACAATTTGGTTGTCTTAGTGTATAAAAAAGATTTTACCATCACCGTTTTTAAATGAAAAGGTTGGAGAAACTGTAACTTTAGTCAATTCATAGTTGTATTCTGCACAGATTATTTACTATGAATATTTATTGGGGCTTTCCAAAATATTTTCCAAAATGCTGAGCATATTCAACTCCCAGTTAATGTGTTTCATAGCTATGTCTCTTTCTTCCTTTTTTTATTTCATTTTCTTTCCACAAGTGTCTCATTCAGAAGGCTGTTAAAAAGAATTTTCAGTTGTACTTTTATCCAAGTAATTTGCACCATTTACACCTTCCTCCTGCCATAAATGAGAGCAGAGAGCTTATTCTTAGACCTAAAGTGCTGAAATTTACTGATGATATGGGAATGGTAATGTAACTGCCTTCCTTACCTTTGATAAGTGGTGGCTGCATCATGTTCTTTGGAGCAGCTGCAGTGTTTAATCCAGTTTCGAGTACCTGACACTTCCCATTCATCACGCTGAGACCTTGGTTTCTAGCCTGATTTCTCTAAAAATCTCCTAACATATTCCAACTAGTTTTCATGCAGATTATTTTTCCAAGCAAATATGTTTTCCTTCCAATTTGAATCAGCACGTACACACAATAACCAGCTATACTTCAGAAGTATGCTTAGGTTTTTATCATTAGAATGGGAATTCTCATATTTAACAGCAATGGCATTTAATACTGCAAACTTTCATCTAATAATGGTTCATTGTAATTGCAAAATTCAAATCAAATTTTCTATTTTTTTTTCAAAGCATCACCAGGCCACAATCTAAAGATGATCAGTAATTCATCTGGAAAAAATACTTATCTATAAATAATTGTCATTTTCTGTACCTGATTCTTGTCCCTTTTCTTCCTCTACTCTTCCTGTGTCCGTAGTTCACCATGAATTTTAATTTATGCTCATTCAAACTAGAAAAGAGCTGTTAGACCTGCATACTGAGTGCTTCTGCAGTTTCTAGCAGCTTCAGAATTGTAAGCTGAAGTGAGCAGAGAATACAGAATTCAAAACCATCTCATGCACATATTCATAAACATTTATAAAAAATGATGAAGCATGGAGAAGTTTAGACTACTGTTACTTTCACTGAATTAACATAAGCTGGAAGTGGCTTAGTCATGCAGCTTATTTGGAAAGTACAGTCTCCCTCATGAGCCTCAAGTAAAGCACCATCTCCATCACGAGCTTTTAAGTTATTCTCAGTTATACTCTAAAGCCTGAGGACATCATGTTAAAAAACAAAAACCAAACAAAAAAACACATCACTATTCCTACACCACAAAACATGATTTTCCCATCAAGTCACATCTCATTAAACTCTTGTATATGGACATCATGTACCAGACAGTAGAGAACTCAAATACAGCTGGCAAGAGCTTCTCCAACTGCAACAACTGCACTAGCTTTTAACCAGATCAGAAGTTCTCCTTCACGGTGAATACCAAGCATGCAGGACACTGAGGGCATTACTCATAAATGGCTTACCTTTAAGCAAAGTGTGTCTTGAAAACACTACCGGGCTTTTTGGGAACAGACTAAGGCCACTTGACTGTACCTTTTATGCATGTGGGTATTGATAGCTGACACAATTCCCATGGCCCACTCTTTTTGGACTGAAGACTGTAACACTGCAAGGCATTAGCTATTTCAGGTAATGTGTAAAGGTAACAGGGTTGTGCTTACCATCTTTTTGTACAGCACTGCCAGGTGTTTCACCGTGTAAGCCAAGGAGGGATGATCTGGAGCCAGTGCTCTCCTCCTGATGTCTAAAGCTTTTTCGTAGAGCTCCTCTGCCTTGTCATAGTGCTTCTTCTCGTTGTACAAGGCTGCCAGATTGTTCAAAGACTGCGCACAGTCTGGGTGGTCAGGACCCAGGACTCTTTCTCTCATTTCCAAGGAGCGCTTCAGAAAAAGCTCTGCTGTCCTACAAAGCACGTTTATTAAACAATATTTTAAAGCTGATAACATCTGTACAACCTAAAGTGACTGCTTGAAACAGAATAAACTCAGCCTCGGAAATTGCAGAAATACTGACATCTGGCAACAGACTTTCTCTTCTGGATAAGCAAATGCCACATCAGCGTTTCATTTAAGCAGTGAGGAGCTGTAAATCCCAGACACAGCACTGCCGTGCAGGCTAACCATAGGAATGTCAGACAGAGATAATTAATTACTCCAATGTAGTACTGGAGCTCCCTGGTACAGGACTGAAAACCCTGTCTAGCAGATTTTAGTAAACATTACACTAATCCCACAGCTGCTTGTTTCTTTAACTCAAGCTATACCTTCTGTGCAGCTCCTCACAGCAGTCAGTACTTCCACAGATAAAGCAATAGTGGAATGTTAGGTAAAGGTCCAAACCCATCACAAAGTTTTTCAAGTAACTGGAAAGAATGTAATATATAT